CGTTTTGTGGCAGAATTGTGAATAAATTGTGATATGAAATTTTTTATCTAATCTTTCTCATCTTGAAATTTTAACTCTACATCAAAATACTCTTCAATCGCTTGCAAATATAGTTAGATACAGCTTAGCAGTACGTCATAGTATACAATAAACAAGACCATTAAGTAATAAACTAATTGCACAGCTGAGGCAGAAAAAGAGTTTAATTTACTCAATAAATTAAATAATTATGCCGTGCTAAATTATAAGATAGAATTCATACCATTAATTTCATAGAGCATACCAGAAATGTTATTAATTTTATCGAATTAAGCATAACAGCCTACTCGGGACTGTAAGGGAATAATATATAAATAACAATTTAGATTGTTAATCACATTATTACGGTTACTTGGTAAAATGAGTTTAGCCTATCTACCACACAATTTCTATTTTAAAATTAATGTCTATTTCCGTCACGGTTAAGTAACAGGCTGTAATCATTAATGACTTATAAAGAACTAAGGTCCTAAGTTATTCTGTATCATTATTTAAAAGTAATTATAAAATACGCTTGACTAGATGCCTTTGTAAATGTCCTCTTGATAATTTTGTATACTGTTACTTTAAAATTTTTTGAAACTATTAAGCTGAATTATAATATTATATTAGCGTCGCTGTCAAAATTTTGTGAAATGATAAAATAACGAAATTATATATCGATTCATGGCAGATATGTAACTGCAATAAACCTGCATGAGCTGATCTATGACCCGTACCTGTCGTCCTAGATGTTTACTTATTATTTTATAGATTACCTACATCATTGACGATCTTATCAATACGTATGAGCATATTGATATAATTTTGTATTGGTAGGTATTTTTTTCTTCCTCAATATTCTCGTCCATTAATAATATAAAATTTAGTTTGTTATTGATGAAAAACAACAGCTAACTGAGTATTACAACGAGAGGATAATTGTAAATAACTTTTATCTTTTATCATCATTTAGAAACCGTTATTCTAAAATAATGTTATCAATTATATTGGCTCCACCTACTTTGTTAGTAGATTAATTTACAGCTGTGCAAGATGCGATGCCAATCATAGTCAAAAATATTGCATGATTGTTGATAAGCTAATACTATTGGCTTAAATCACAAACTCTTCATGACTTGGTCTATTTCAAAGTCACTTAAATCTCTGTTTTGTATTAATGAGATAGTCATCAAATCAGGATACAACATATTAAACCTGAGATAATCTATGAAAAAAATTCTCAGCCATTCCGATTAGATAATTACCATGTAGGAAATTACTATAGCAAACAACCATAGTTTTGTAATAATAATGTAATCGTTAAATTATGGCCCAATAAATTCAATCATGGATAATCTATCGTAAATTTAGATCCCTTTTCCTTTCTTATTAATTACTTACTTCGTAGAAAGTTAACAGTATCCACTGATGTAGCAGCTGGAAAGATAACTTCATCTATTTAATCTGTCGTTTACCAGCTGATTATTAGACTTTACTTGTCATTCTATCTTTGTTTGTGAATTCTTGTGTGGACAATATCCGTTCACGTAATTCATTATTAGTAGAATTAAATATTCAAGAGAAAGATCTATTAAAAATCTGGTTGTAGCAATCATTTACTTTTATATATCGCAATTATCTTCATTAATCATTTTTATTGTTTAATTTTATCACTAAATTGTCATAACAAATCTGCCAGGTTATCGATTGGTTTCCTGTATAATTATAGTCTATTTTAGAACAAATTGTAACTGATACATATTGAAGTAATTTTTTAGAAGTAAGAGAATGGTCTGGGTCACTTTCTATATGAAAGAGAAATGATCTGATAGTTGAATGATTAAACCGGGATACTTCATTAAATTTTATAGGCTTTCGATAGAATTTTCTCTGTTAATTTGTGAAAAGGTGGCTAATTATAAAGATAATCTTTAATAAATTGTAAAATGACAAAAACTTGCTGCTATGTGCAAAAAATTATGGAATTGGTTTCGATTTGGTACTATACTTTATAATGCTACCAAAATTATATTTTAATCTTCATATTGTCCGGTAGAATACACCCTACCGGCAGAAGCTAAGCAAAACGTAGCCTAAAAATAATTGATTTAAGTTATTGGATTCTGAGATATTGCTGTTTTTCGTATCGTAAACTTTAAGGAAATCTTCACTACAATTATCGAGATTCTGAAGCTAGATAACTATTGTTTTCCTATTATTGATGCATAATATTATCCAATAGAATTCATAAATCATATAATAGAGTAGCAAGATAGTCCTCAATAAAAATTGTACAAATTGTTTTAATCTGAAGCGTCAGAGCAGTAATACAATTCCTAGACAGTTTGAGAAAATTGCAACGTCTATTTGTTGAAAGCCTATTTTAAAATATTGTAATACATAAACTTGATTAACTTCAATTCTCGGGAAATTAATGATACTTAATCAGCTGATTTAAATACTGCTGTCAATTATTGATGTATATACAATTTGAAGCTATATGATCAGAAATATTGAAATTTTTGGATATTCTTGCTAATTATCCACTGATACATGATAGACTCAAGGAATATCTATCTCATCTCATACATTAATGTAATAATGTTTCATTTTATAATTATTGTTAAAAACAGATAGCTATAATATTAGTTTCATTAAATACCTAGATTACTGCGTTAGTTTTTACTGAGAACAGTGAATTATACCCCGATATTATTTGAGAATTAGGCTTAATTTCTACTAGTAAAGACTCTAAACGCAAGTGTTTAAGGACATAATGTAAGTCAACTTACTTGATTAACTATTTGGAACATATGCTAAGAATAAAATATGAATTGGACCGCGATTTTTAATAATATAAGGTTCTAATATAACTTATATAGTGGTTAAGCTTAAAATTCATACTATAATCAAGTAAAATAGTGAAAGCACCTATGATCCTCTAATTCATTTACTGAATAATGCCTTTAGTAATTATGGAGCTGTATAGGAAGCGAACACTATTAAACAGTTTGATTTAATGCTTGGAATATCAGTAGGGTGATTAATCGAGAACTGTTATTTTACAAACAGGTACATAAGACAGTATAGGCTAAAGTAGATTGTCTTGTTGTTAATAATTATAAAGCAAGAAACAAAGCTTATTGTATTTTTTATAATATTGAAATAAGGTGAAAGTCTTATCTCTTTGTCACAACTCATTAGTTGGGACAAAAAGAACATGAGTAAACTTAAGACACAAAATCAAGTTTTGAACTAAAGTCGTTACAACAGTCATCTTTATATTAATAGAAAAGTCTGGTTGTATAGAAACGTCTATGCATAAACATGTTATTATTGCTATCTCTATCTCTTAATTTAGTATTCATCACCCTAATAAATATGTAACCAGATTTTCCTACGTTATCCTACTTTTTCTAAGGCTCTTGTCTAGAACAACGTTCAGCGACTATAACATTAAACATGTAATCATAATCATAACATGAAAATACTCTAATAATAATTTTACTAACTTTAATATCAGTACGGTATCGGTATATTAGCAAATACATAAGGATCTTCTAAAAACATAAATGTCCTATTTTAAGACCTATTTTTACTTAAGTACATTTTAACGTCCAAAATTATAAAATTTATACTTTATAATACTAACGATACAGTAACACTCTTATATTACGGCTGCTTGTTATTAGCAGATTAGTTTAATCTTTGATTTATTAGTATAACATCAATTGTCGTGATATTGTTCCGGTTAAACCTACATGAATAGTTTAGATCTGTGGGTAATAGAATGATATCCTCAAACAGCATATGATCCGTTACAAGCTTAATATCCTATAAAATAGATAAAATTTAGGAAAGCTAGTCTTACATGTAATGATGATGTTATTACACTGTTTTATTTCTATCATAGTGTAGTCATCTACTACGAGAATAAAATGAGTACCGGCTAACAAGGATAAAACACTGAAAAGATATATAAAGGGTCAGGCCCAAACACATAGAGAGTTTTTACAGTTGATCTAGTTAGTGATCTGAGCTGATAAATAATAAAGTAACTCTAAACGCTATCAAATAGTCTCTCACTGTGATTAAGAAAGTTAGTCTTAATCTGTACTATTCATCAAGAGTTAGTTTGAAGAATAGTCGGTGACAGTAAGTAGGTTAGTAGTTGCTAGCCTCGATAGTACAAGTGTCGCAGAGGAGATTTGTGACAGTTTAATATAAAATAAATATATGCTTGTATATATATATATATATATATCTGCATAAATGAAATTAAAATTGCTGGCATTTAGCAGTACAATCTTAAATACTGACAATCGACGATTCAAAATTCTTGTATGATATTATATATATTACTCGTATATGTAAATTAATTAATTGATAAGATAGAATTTATCGCCAATTACTTAAATGTTATTAGCAATCATAAATATTTGAATGAATAATATGTTCAGTAATTAGGTTACAGTATAATGACAGTTATTGATGATAAATGATATATGCTATCACCAATAACCGTTTTAGTATATGTTCGATATAGTTATACGAATATCTTGTCGTCTAGTAGTATAGAATAATCCCCTCTAGTAATCTTAAAATATACTATTCCTACTGGTATATTTTTCGTTGTTAATTTTCAGGCTTTAATAAAAATTTAGGTCTATAATTAATCATGTTTAACAATAGGCAATCGTAATTGTAACCAGTTTAAATTATCACTAGCTATTTTTGAATTTAAGTTGACGACTCCATTTCAGAAGGAAATGCCGATGGGGCTACTTTAGTAATGGATAACGTCGATTCACGCGATCTTGCTAGGTGGATTGTGTTTCTTGCTGGATTATTCCGATACTCCAATATCTATCAAGAAAGAATTATTAAACGATTTAATACTCTATGTAATTGGTATTCATATATTTATCTGTAACATATGTCATATATATTGACGCACTATTATTGATAACTTGAACACCCTACAGAATGCAAGTCATATTGAGAATGCAGTTACTTACTTTTGGCACAAATACTAAGCATAATACAACAGTATTGCCAAATACGATAAAGCCACTGGTTAATGCGAAGGTCGGGTTAATCTGATCAGCTAGAATAATAATAACTGGTACGCCAACAATACCTAGAATAACTACGTTGTAAACTGCCATGCCAATATACTGAGAATCATTTAGGGCAGCAACTGTTACTTTACGCGTTTCCCATGCGAAAAAAACTGCAACCATGACAACTGTGCCTTTCAATACGAATAAGGCAATCAACCAGGTAACTTTATTATTACTATCACATAGCCAAATTTGAGGTAAGCGGACCACATCTTGATTCGGAGAACTCTAATGGTTTAAAGTATAGAATAAATTTGTGAGTATAGTCCATCCTGTAGTACAGTATCTTGGCGATTTTTAATTAGTTACTGTTATATAACAGGATAAATGTACGGAATAATCTACTCTGATAAATGATGGAAATTCTAATCAAGTTATAAAGCGTCCTACCTCAGCTGTTAAATTAAGAATTTTCAAGTACATTGGATCAATAATTTGCCACGCAGTTAGGATAGTAATGTCCATAAGTAACAATATTCCAATAAGACCAAATAGATAAGTATCCTTCATGACCTGGCAGGCATCAATCGAAAATTAAATCATTTGTATTAAATTTAATTTATACAGTTTATTATATAATTATATTTATATATTTATATAATTTATTATATAATTTATTTAAATTTAATTTATATAATGTTTCATTTTAATTAACTTTAATATTCTTTCTGATATCACAGAAACGGCCCTTACCACTTTATTAGCTTTGCCACTTGTAAATATTTTGTGCACACGATAAGTTTTAGCAAAGATTGAACCGAACATAAAGGTAAAGCCAATAACTGGGAACCAGCCACGAGCCTATAATTTTAACATTATATCTTTATCGTTCATGAAGTCATTATTCGATGTATTACTGTCCATAAATTTAATGGTACTATTAGAGTTCAAAATATCTACCACACAAACAGCATGAAAATTTCGCTGAGAGACCCATCTACCATCCAAACCGAATACATAAATAGCGAAATACATCATGCTACAACCAACAACGATGAGATTATTAATTCGCGGGCTTGACATCTTGATAAATCTGAAACAAAGATAATATGTAAATGTTATTATAAATTACTAAACAAGTGCTTAGATTAGTAATGTAGTTAAAGCTAATTGACGAATTTTACTACACTATCAGCTTTACAAAGTGAAATGAGAATATGCAGATCAAAATATGATATGCTGAAAAGAACAGTGGCAAGTGTAGATCAGAGAACTGTGTCTTTTAATGCATAAGACAGTTTCTATATGTTGTATTGGTAGTAAATTGAATAATTTAGTCTATAGTAAAAACAGATATTTATTATCGTTGTATACAGATAAAGTAGAATCAAGAATTAAATTAAATTTTGATTCATGTGTGTAGTGTATTTAGAATATACTGTAACTATATTCTACTCTTAAATATAGACATGTTGTATTGCTCTTACATTTAGACTTATCTACAGTCCGCTTACTTCACATTCATATATAGGCTACTGTATTTAGTTATTACAGTACTCGCTGTTTGCTACAATCATCAGATATGTTGTAACCTGTTGTGGTATATGTAGTATCTAATTCTACAATCCTATTCTCTGCATGTGCTCTATCTTTAAATTATAAATACCGCCCGTTTTCCACCTCAGAAATCATTAGTTTCCTGGTTAGTCTTCACACGTTACTCACGACAGCTTGCACGCTGATCTACCGTAATTATTACATTGTACCTAACTACTATCTACAATAAAGTATCCTCTTTTCTTAAGCTCCTTGTGCAATTCTCTGCATGACAACTAAAACCATATTATCTGACTCTTCGAACCCTCCATCACAATGTGAAATGCTAATTTTAATCTTAAGAAAGCCGATTCAAACTGGCATATCCACAGCTACATATTAAATGATGAAAATAAATATCAAGTCGTAAAATGCTGAATTACCTTTCATGTCGAAGTATGATATTAAAAGTCAGGAATGCAATAGCCAAAAGGATTCCGCAAGTAGCTAGAATATACATGGAAATAAGTAATGCTAAATCGATGTGTAAAGGAGTGAAGCTATATCGAACGGATGCAATGGGAGTTCTATTGCCTATAATTCGGAAATTATTTTCAAGAATTGATTGTTTTAGTAATAGTGAATTAAATAATATCCATATCTCAATCTATACACGTATTCATATGGAAGCAACAAATTAATTCCTATTTCGGTCTTTTTCTAAAATACTGTAACGATAATGTACTCGCAATATCGCTCGCTATTAGCTATTGATCAGCTCTGGAAAAAATAGTAGTATGGTTAATTTTTATGCCCTAGTTGCTTATAATTCTAATATTTGTAATAGCTTTAATCTAGAGTTACGAATTATGAATCAGCCAGATTATGATAAAAATTTCTGCTTCAAAACTGCTATATTTCAAAAGACATACTCTTCCACTGAACTAGGTCGTTGTTAATGGCAATCTGCTTGGCTTGGCCGTCATAAATACCAATATTAACTTTTTGCGTAACACCAGTTATGTCTATAAAGTTGCGATAAAAATAAAAAATTTTAAATTTTTTTTGGGTGAATTTATGAAAGGGTAAAATAACTTATAAATATAGACTTGATTTTAGCGCGATATTATAATTTAATTAGAGGAAAAAAGGTACATGCATATGAAATATATCACTACTGTGATGGCATATTAACGATAAAAGAGCATGAGTGCAAGTTCCAGTCATCTTCTGTTAAACGATTTGGAAGTAAAGGAAATACGAGTAAATGTTTATATTTATAAACAGTTTCAATGTTAGATACCTACTGTACTAAAATAAAGGAAAGTATGCAAGATATAGCAATGGGATAAAAAATAATTCAATAACAGGCGTTATAGGTTTCCCATTTTCAATCCAATAAGACATAAGGAGAGTGAGCCAATAATTAATATATCATCATAATAAGACCTATAGAGGCTAAAATTTCTTACTTTGCATTTGTTGATAGACGATAGTACCAATTCGAGTACCTTTGGCTGTAAAACTAACTGTCCCCTGTAATAAATAGTTCATTAATAACTTAATTGAACATGTTAAATAAATTTGATACCTTATTCTTGCTGTATAAGTGAATACAAATCATTTTTTGATAATTATCAAGTACACTTACAGAAATGCCTTCAAATAGTAAATTTTGCATATTCGTTCTAAATATTCGGGCCATTTGAAGATCGTTATAAGTGAAATCGCTCAAAGTTTTGTTATACTTGACTAGATCTACTTCACTCTGATTTAGAGCTAAGGCGATAGCGTAAACAGCATCATAGGCAAAAGCAGCGTAGAGATCGCGTTTGTTAACATTAGGTACTAATTCAGAATAGGCTTGCGTAAATTCTGATGCGGTCTAGAGATAGATAGTAGGACCACTAATGAGTAAATCAGTTTGTGGCAATGATTCTCCAGTGAGATTGATATTTAAATTTGTTAGTCTGGCATATCTTACGGCAATGATAATTTAGATAAAATCTACCCTTTATGTCAATCATGGCAAAGATTATCAACATCTATTACGTTATACTACTATCAGTGAATGATCGTATACATCTATAATTTCAGAAAAGCTAATATTTAAATTCGTTAAATTCCTTGTAGTTATACTATCGTTAAAAAATCGATCATTTAATAGAATTATGCAAGAATTAGAGATAAATTGCAAGTTAAAATTGCTTTTCCATCCTTCATCACCTGGCCAGAAATTGCTCTCTTATCATCTTTGCGTACATAGGTTAAATCAATTGCAATCTGGCCTGTAATTACTTCACGCATTTGTTCTCGAGTACACTGACCAGATGAAACCGTTACCGCTACATCCCACCAATTCACTTCTAACCATCCGATTAAAATCCAAACATATTTGGCACCGAATAAACCATGATGGTAAGCCTAATTTCAAGTCAATTGCAAGACAAAATGCGTAAGAAATGGAAAAGGGTCGATCATGGTGCAATTCTTGTAATATAATTTTTTAATAGTAGGAATCGATGTCCATTCGATTAGATACACTAATACTAGTCATAACTAATATTGATGGATATGTCTCATTATAATTTAAATTACTGAGATTTATTAGTATCTACTGTACATAATTATTTAATACATAAACTTTGTTGATTTGATAAATTTCATAATTATTTATAAAAATCTAACAGAATAGCTTACATTGATGGATATATTTTACTGTGACTTAGATTACGGTCATTCATTAATATCTACTAGTAGTAAATATTATATATGTAATCTGTGTTGATTTAACAAATTTCAGAGTCATTTGTAACAGATTATTATAGTAAACTACAGCAGTCTTTGTAAGACTACGAAACAGAGAATATTCGAGTATGTTACCTAGAAATGAATGCTATACCCTCACAATGATTATCAGTTACTATTTCAATAGTCGTTTGTATGATTATTCAAGATGGAAATTTAGAATCAATTTAAAGCTTTATACTATCTAGTAACCGACTCAAAGTTGCATTAGAAATCGAATTTTAGACAGTTTTACTTACTTCGCATATGACCTTCCTTCCAGTATCTTCGTAGAAACTTGCAATAATAATTCTGGCGTCTTTTTCCTAGAATTAGAATAAGGATCAATCATGAGATTATCCTTTATGAGGTGTTAAAGCAATTGAATAATTTGAAATTGAGCTAACACGTTGGTATAATAATTATTCCATCATATTTTACTACATAGGAAAGGCAATGATCGTAATATACTAGAATGAAATTACAAATTATGGCGATAATTTGACCGTCTATTTTACTAAATATGTTATCAAGCCGAAATATGGAATATTCTTTATATATCCATCGAATAACAATTATAATGCATAAATACTAGATTGAAATAATAACATTAGGGATCTGCTATTTCTTGAAGAATTAAGAATAGCGTTTTTAAGGTGAATTTTAAACTATCTAATTGATTCGATTTCAATGTTAAGCCTAACAGTGATTCATTCTCGTTACTCAGGAGAGTATGTAATGCGACAAATGCTTGTAACAGAAAGTAATCCTAACTTACTTTTATTTGTTTGACTTGTTCCTTGGGCTGGTCTGCAAAACTTTCCGATGATATTATAGTGATATTATTATTAACTGCTATTTTACTTCGAAAATCATCCATCGTCTGTAGATTAGAGCAAGAATAAAAAGGGTTTAGTTTGATCAATCATTAACCGACTCTATTTTTCATCATTATACCTTGATCAATTTTAGAGTAAAATCATTTCTTTAATATACAAATTCAGTCCTTGGATTTACCTCGCTGAAAATATTTTCCGATTCATATAAAAGTGCGATCTGATTCCAATTGTAGTACTTTAATAATTCAATACGTGGATTATTAAATGAAATTTCCGATTCGATAGTACGAAAAAAATATGGAAATTTTTGGCGATTGGACAAAACGGGCGATGAAGCTGAATAAGAAACCTAGCATCAATAAGAAAGAAATGGAATTGAAGAAACATGATTAGCACAAGCTGGCAGATGATGAACTAGCTATAGCTTGCCAAAATAGAATATTCTATTGGACATTTTTTGGTCATTATATTCAAATGAATAAGCAGCAGCTAGATCTCATCGTTTACCAATAGCAAATTCCATAATGCCGAAGTTGCAGCTAGTGGCTCGGTAACACTAGAATAGCCGGCACCAATTAGAGCCAATTTAGTTGGTGGACGAAAAATATAATTGAAAAGGACTCGTTGCGCTCGAGGTAAAAGGCCCTATAATATGATATAATTGACGGAAATATGGTATCTATTACGTTAGAGATCTTATTGGCATGGTTTGCAGATGTTAAGCAGGGCTGATAATCATTTATACTGTAAATATTTCCAGAGAAGGTAAACCGGAATATAGTAAGAAGCATGGATAATCAAAACTAAGAATACTTCTATCTGCTTTTTAAAAATTTCTACTTAATGCTATTAGGGAAACGAAATTTATTAACTCTTCTTACCTTGGTGTCGTTAGCTATTAGGACTAATCGATGATTTGGCAAGATATTAGTAGAATTGTTGATTAAATCTACTGCAAGTCGACATGCAGCTAATATACCGTTTCCAGTCTGCCAGTTATTGCCGGATAAATCTTCGAGAGGAAAAAATCCACCAAGGTAAAGGTTCTGATCTTTTAGACCATGAGCTACGACAGTAAACAAGGATCCAATAATTATAGCCAATTGAAACAAATTTGCGCGCATTTTTGCCAAGATATTGCTCGTCAGTTTTTTATTACAAGAGTTTAAAGAATAAGATTTAGCCTAGTAGGATATCCTGTGGTGATAAGAGCAGAAATATTAAAGACTTGAAGAAGAAGAATCTTGCTGTACATTTAGAGATAAACGATATTAATAAACAGTAACGAATTTCTTTTATTTTTCGGATAATTATAGTTTGATACGCTACTATAATTTCAATATCAAATACATACAACCTGTCAAGCAACTATTGTTTACTAGTTGCTAACAGTAATTAAAAGGGGAAAACTTTATATTGATCTTTCTAATCTTAAGTTTGGCCGCTCGTTTTTATAGTGTTGAGAGAGAAGGAAAAATTTACATTACGAAAATAGTCTGCTTCGTTGCCCTAAAGTAGTATAAAATCTTTGAGTCGTTCTATTACTGGTTAACAAGTGTTTTTAAAGGATAGTAATTTGCTTCGTTGAAGTTGAATTGGCAGTAAAATCTGGAGAGAATTTATTTGCTTTCGTTGCCCTTTTAATATATACAGTTTCTTGTAGAACCGTACTTATACTATTTTATTGCTGATTTTCAAGGATTATTTACCTTGTTACTAGAATAATGAACGATCTTTGAGCTAATTCACTCCTATTACTGGTTAACAAGTATTTTACAGCATAATTAGCTTCGTTGAAATTGATTTATTGGCCTACCTTGACATGGTTTTTACTGCATCAATAACATTTTTCAAGGAAATACTGACAGAATAGTAAGACTTTAAGAGGAATTGGTGGTCATTGGAGCCTTGATACAGTTACAGGCCCTTATAGTATTTCGTTACTCATTTTCAAGGACAATTTACGTTGTTGTAACTAGAATAATGAACTATCTCTGAGTAAATTTACTTCTATTACTAGTAAACAAATATTTTATAGGATACTTGGCTTCGTTAAAGTTGATTTATTGGCCAACCTTGGGATGATTTCTACTTCATTAATGAGAATAGTAAAACTTTCAGTGGGATTATTTGCTGTTGTAACCCTTGAAATAGAGGCAGACCCTCGAACTATTTTTGTAGCTGATTTTTAAGGATAATTACCTTATTGCTACTAGAATAATGAACGATCTCTAGTTTAATTTACTCTTATTACTATTTAACAAGTATTTATAGCATATTTATCCTCCTTAAAACCAGTTTATGGGCTAGTATTGGGATGGTTTTACTTCATAAATAATATTTTTTAAGGAAATACTCACAGAATTTAACGTTATTTCGCCACAAGACGGATATAATTTGCGTCGTTATTGCTGAAATAGTAAACAAGGTTTGAACTGTTTTATGGTAGAGGCTACTAAATATTTCAAGAAAGTAATAGTGATCAATGGAGAGTTAAGGACTCTGCTCAAATTGTGGCGAAAATCGGTCAGGTAAACCATATTGAGATCTCAGCAGTACTCTTTACTGGAGCTAAATCATGCTAACGCCTCATTTTTCTAGTGTAAAATGGCGCTTATTCAGCTTGAATACAATAACAGTACCCCTACAGAGAGAAGCACCTAGTTTGGGTAGAGGCTAATTACCCTAGCAGGATGCTATTCATCAATTCTACACACTTTTAGGCTAGCTGTGAATTAAAAATAAGAAAAATAATTCACGCATTGGTAGAGGTCTTAAAGAAAAAATCTTGCCTTGCACATAATAATTCATTTCGAAAGGCAAATTTATAGCCATACCAGAATGCATTAACCATCAACGAATGGATTAATAGGCCATTCTTCGTGAGTATAATTTAGGGTAAGAAATTGACCAAACAAACGGTATATCATGCTGTTCAGGCACGTTAATTTCCATTATTCACTCCTTTAATATTTGACTCAAAGACAACTAATTCGAGATATCCAATTTTAATTTTTACAGAAACTGTTCTATCTGGTCTACATAATTCTATATCTAATTTAATATAGTTATTTCGAGATTAATAAGTCGAATTGGAGCTCATTTTTTACAGTAACAGCTGTCATATTAATTTACTCAATCAAACGAAAGATTTATGTTTCAAAATGGCACAAATAGTCTAGCCTGAGTAGTTATACTATCTCATTTAAAATACCTTCAATTTCTTACCTATATAGGTATATAAATTAAAGATATATGAACTGGAAAGCGATATTAATACAGCATAGTATTAAAAGCCTATAAATAAAAGGGATCAATCGATGTGTAGACCAAATATAAACGCCAAAGTATTGATGATAATCCGCTTGAAACAATCAATTTTAGCCGCAAATATGACAAGATAACCAGACCTATTTTAAAATAAATACTGTAGTTAAAGCTCCGGGAATAACTATCCAATTAGGAGTGAAGGTTAATAAAATAATTATGGAATGCATATGAGATTAATGTTGTAGAAATTAGCCGTAATGATAAACATAATGAGAATTATTTATCAGCGCAATTACTGATTAGAAGATATGCTGTTGAATGAAAATGTAAATCCCTTTTATCCAGGTGTTAATAGCAGATTGTATTCAAGATCGCAATCCCTGATCAAGGGATAAAATAAGATTTTTAACCATTTTTTGTCATGCGTTTACAAATAAATTTTGATGAAAGATGGCAATTACTGAGCAGGAGATTCATATTCTATCGAATATGTTTTTACTATTGCTGTAGATTTATATTCCGTCAAATAAGACTTTTAAGTATTTCTCATTTTGCTCTTATTAACGAATTTGACGGAAGATTGCTATTACTGAGCAGGAGATTCCTATTCCATGAATTAAATGTTAAGTACTTTTGACTGTAGTTCTAATAACGGATTAAACGAAGATGAGGATTGATGAGCACGAGATTAATATTTCATCAAATAAGATTTTTTAGTACCGTATTTCTTATGATATTTTATTAACAGATTTGCCGGACGGTAGAGATTGATTAGCCGAAGACTAATTAATTTTTTATCAAACAAGATTTTAGATACTTTTTATTATGCTTTTATTAACGAACTTTTACCGAAAATAATGATTGATGAGCAGAAGATTTGGATTCCTTCTAATAAGATTTAATATATTTTCACTAGGTCTTTATTAATAAACGGATTTAATGGGTGGCCATTACTGAGCAGCAGATTTATGTTTTATCAAATATCGGTAGGATTTTATGACATTTTTTTACTAAATTTTTATTATTGGATTTCATGAAAGATCGCAGGCGCTGATTAGGAACTTCTTTAGCAACTTAAATAGAAAACTACGTTCGATGATGAGAAAATATTTCATCAACAGAGAATCTAATTATATTGGACTTTGCTAACAGATTTTTATCGAAGGTCTCAATCGCTGAATAGGATAATCCACATTAGACGAGATTACAAAAGCATTCCGTAAAGACTTTCTTAATATATTGAATTGATTATTACCATCACCGATTGAAAGGTGTACGTAATCAGGTTGGATTATAAGCACTTTTATTGACTACAACTTCGGATATTACTAATTAATTTTATTGACCATCGCTAATTGTGAGATAGTTAATACAGTGAATAACTTTATCATGCTCTGCCACAATTATGGATAATGCTGCGATTTTACTTAAATTGATAAATACTTTATACGATCTTAGATCTGCTCTTTGATTTCGATCTAATTTACTTATGATAAAGATGAAAATGAAGAGATTTGTCTCCTTAATAATGAAGGTGGATTAGGAAGGGAAATATTAAGAGACTCGAATATTTTCTAACACTATATACGACGCCACGTATGCTCAAGATAAACAAATTAACTGTGAAGTAGAAGGGTGCTAAATAAATTGATTGTTCTTAATTATCGTTAAATAAGGAAAATAGAAAAAACGGTAGGACTCCTAATGCCATCTATGACACCTTTACTAGCATTTGTAAGTCCAGATAGATATAAATATAAAAAGAGAGTTTAAGGCGAACTATACCTTAAGCTTACTCTATTTTGGGCGATATTGTTACTCATCAAGTTTTCGAATTAGAGTAATCGTATACCATTATCATATTTTTCTCATTGCCTCCTTTATAACAAACTTGAATCTAACAAATTACTAGGGTGCATATAGAATGAATTAACTTTAGCTCGGTCTTAATACTTGAAATGGATAGGAAAATTTCATGTTTATACTCGAAAAAAGTTTAACATTCTAGCCATCATACAATATAATTATCCTCTTTCTAATCAGTTTCTTGCTATTTATTGTTCAGGTTCATCGTTAAACTACTTACCTTCTAGTTCAACTTCATTAATTAAACAGCAAATAAAGATTGTACCAACTCTGTTATAATGGATATAGTAACATAAAATTTTCAGCCCTGTTCAAGTTAAATCTCGATGATAAGCTACAGTTTGTTATTTGGAATAAAGTCACTTGTAAAAATAAGCATCTCGCAAGATACCGAAGAAAGATCTCGTTAGTTACAAGGGATGTAAGCTATGTCAATAAATGATTAATGTTGCTTTAGATGTCCGTCATAAAGAATAGAAGAAAAATTATTGTTTATTTTGATAATACGAGAAAAATAGCAATAGAGATGTAAAGAAGGGTCAAGACTTTGCGTCATGGATTGCTATTCATCATCAAAGAGAGTGATACAATGTTGAATAAAGAATATAAATTTAAGTGCGGTAATAAATTGAATTTTTCCGACCTAATTATATTCTAATTTATTGTCTTGAGTTTTTACAATTGTTAATGAATTTATGATGATGACTCGTTTATTTATTCTAATTAAGATACAATTTAATAAGTCGTTCATTGTCTCTATCGCTTTGATTGCCCAGTCGACAGTTGTCAAATTTAAGAATGTCGATCTTAGATTAACGCAATCTATAATTGTATATGTAGAGATGGGAATATCTTTATCATCATGCTTTTAAAATGGGTAGTAGTAAAGAATAGAGAAAACGGTGCTTGAATTATAGCTAATAGCTATTAAATAAGTGGTGAATAAAAGTGCGAATTCAATACTGATTGAAATCATTGTCTGTATCCAAATTTGAATAACATTAATGATAATAGTGCGATTAACTAAATGGTATTTTTATTTCATAACTTTTCTGTATCTAATTTAAAACAGATTCATAAATGATTTATATCATGCTTTACTTTTTCCCGTTAAACTTATTTTAATATTGGTTAGACGTCAGTTAGCACATTCGATATTGATTATTAATCAGTGCTCCTTAAAATTTCACTTCTCCACGGGGAGCCCTATTATCAGCAATCGAGGCTTATTGGTAATAATTTGCAAAGAAAAAGTTATGGATGGTAAACAATTTATACTCAGACTTTGTTGAGTTGATGACTACGCCATTGAATATCTTAAAAGCCTATGGTGACTGATCTAAAGTATAAATGCGCTATAAATATGTTAACAACTTTATATTATTATAATAACAAATATACCACAAGTTTTCTATTGGAAACAATTACCCTAAGGGTATCTGCGATCTATTTTTATCATGATAATTCTATAATTAATTTTAGCATTTAGCAGATATAATTTATGTAAATTCGCTCGTTAATCATGCTAAAATTATGGAATTTTAGATTATCGTATAAAAATAATCCTTGTGTCTAATTTATATACAAATAGAAGGGGCTTTCTTGCGACTGTCATGCGGTTGATTCAATATCGGAGAATATCTAATATATCACGTAGACGATAGGCCTGCGAAAAAAGTTGTCGGCTAGCCTACTGTATAACTTCTAATAAGGAGAGCCATTACTTACTATTAGCAGCAGACGCATTTTTTAATATATAGACTATATTATAAAGTCTAGTGGATAGAAATTGTTCACGTCTGATTTGTATAAAACTTGTAACAGCTATTATTTGGATTTCATAGTATGCTGAGCTTACAACTTGAACGAGATCATTCTCATTAAGTTGATATTAATCATTTCCTGTGGCTATACCGTAGCACTAAATTATGGGAATAAATCGAACCATTTGCGTTCCACTTTCGCTTGGACCTTTAGATTTATAATTCAAATGCTCTTCCTATGATATCGATCATACAACATAAACTGTAGGGTATTAATACAAATACACAGAATCATAACTGGTTAAAATGTGAGTTTGTCGATAGCGTTACCAAATTAAAATGATAATATTCAATAACCAGGATGAGTCATAACATAGAGAATGAAATACTTATCATATAAATAGAATCAGTATCATCTCTATCATTCCATTGTAATCATACACTTGGACATAGTCTAATGTCTATTTTCATTCCGCATTGAAGTAAATAGGTCTATTGTAATAAATAACGATCAATTGGTAAATACTAGACAGCAATAGCTTTAAATCAAATTTATGCCGATATTATTAATACGTAGAAAAAGATTGTTATGCTATGGTTATGAAAAATTGAAATAAATTTCATCATACCAGTAATTAAATTTTATATTTGTTTGACAATGTCAATCGCCTAATTTTTATTACATAAATTAAATGATTAGAAATAAACCTATAGCTGAACTGGACTATACCATCTTCTTTTTTATACCACAAAAATATATAATATATCTCGTGTTAATAAATAAAATTTAAAAATAAACAGAATATAGTAACTAATGATCTACGCAGGTTTATGTGACACTCATAGGGGTTTACTTTTTCTTAAATAACTGTACTTTTAACACTTTTGGAACATGTCTTATCGTTAGGGATATTCGAGTTTTTCTTGTTAAAACGTCTCCAAGTTTGCTTTGGCAGAATTTAATATTGACTACCTTTTCATCCACTACATCTGTTGTTCGTTCCTGAATACCATGTAGATAATTGGTATAAAGGTCATTCTTTAAAATTAGTAAGCTTCGAGGTTCTAAAAGCAACGATGCTAAATATCTTTTTTTAAAGTTTGTTGCATCGCCATCCTCATTATCCTATAAACAGAGATTAGGACCCTACTTGTCAGAAAATGATTTATTACTTCATAGATAATAGTCATGCCACATAAGTTTATCTTGCGCTTCCAATCTGTAACCTCTTATTAAGTAATAACGATTTATTCAACATACCTTACTATCATTAGAATTTTCCAAATGATGGTAAAAGTCCAAGAAGATATGGCTTCCAAGGTTGATGGTTGCAATAGTAGGATAAAATAAAGGTCCATCTTCATGAGGCTAATAAAATAGGCTTATGTCGTAAGTGTCATTTAATGTAGTTTTATTACAAATCCATTTGAAATTAAGGTATCGTATTCTGTATTTAATCCAGCTTACCATAATACCCTCGCCTGGTTGATACTCATTCACTAATACATGATTTGGTATTTTGCTGCCAAATATTCCATGCTCAGAAAGTTTCTGTGCTGGTGCTTCAAGCCACTGGCGATAAATTGTTTGATATTTTACCAAAATGATAAGTGACATTATCGACTTTCAAGATTGATATATAGCTACACTTACATTTGGCAAAGCCTCTTGAATCATTCCCTAATTATGGAATAAATTATACGTGTAATTAAATGCAATTTCGAAGCATTAAGTGTGAGAAGTTATGAACTAGCGTAGAAGGAGCATACTTATTGTTAAAAGTGCAGAACACTGTTCCCTTTATAAGGCAAAACATGCGTATTTTTTGGTTACTATGCAGTAAATTAGCTCGTTAACAAATCGAAACACGTTATCTTGACCGAACTAGTGGACTTTTAGGTTCTAAAGCATACCATTACGATGTGAAAAGTATATAGACGATAAGGTACACGTAAGAGCTTTCTTGCTAGAGATTGCTATTGTACAGTACATGCAATAAAGTTTTCATGAAGTAGAATTTTTATCCATTTGGGATTATAATGATATACTAAAAGACTTGATATCAATATTACCTGTAATATCTATTTAACCAGCACCATACTATTATAATTTATATTAACTTAAATTCTAAATCATCACTAAAGGTTTAATGTATTTCTGATCATGTATGAATAATTTTTTATGCACGTGTACAGTATACCTTTGGATGAGGTATTCCTCCTGCAGTTTCATTGTCATGTAAAAAATAATTTAAAATTTGAGTAATAATGCATTAGAACGTATACATTTTAAATAATTTAAAGAAGCTACAAAGCAGCATACCCATATAATCATTACTTAGTTAGTAATATCTGTATGATAAATCTATGGCTAATTAAGTTATCATTACATTAGTTAGCATACTGTAACTAATCATATCATGAGCAGCTAAGGAGCAAGTACTCTAACTCTATGTACAGTAAATATTTTAGTGTATGTAGAATCTACCAACCCCAATTTTGCAATCTTCGATGAGATAATTTAGTCCATTTGGGTTTCGGTGCGTCATAAATCTGAGAGAACGCAAACATTTTCAATAATATTAGTATTACTAAAGAGATCACACCTGATAATATGTTAATGACATAGTTGGTGTCCAAACATAACAATAACTGTGAATATTATAATTATGCATCGATATCTACATGTATAACTTTGAAGTTGATCATAGTCATTTAATTGATGGGAGCTGAGATTAATGGAGCATTACAGTAAATACAGTAGCAATGCACTTATATATATATAAACGTAATACTAATAGTAAATAATATGCATTGATATCTAGCGTTGATCATTATCTGTTAATTTAGGCAAGCTAAGCTTAAATTGAGCATCAAATAGCCTTGGACATTGATCATTATCATTTAATTGATGCTAGCTGAGCTGAGCAGAGTGTTCCATAGAACATTATATATCTCTATCATATAAATATAATGCTGACTGTAAGTAGTACTGTATGCATTGATATCTATCATTTTTGAAGTAAATTCTAATCTTAATTGATTTTAGCTGAGCTTAATAGAGCAGTTTTCAGTACTTGCATACAGTACTGTAGATCATATCGTTACACTAAAATTAGCACTTTACTAATTTACCTTTTGCATCAAATACTGGGCTTGTTCCGAACTGATAAAATCGGGTACGTAATAAGCAGTAGGAGGTAGCTAAGTAGATATAACATATAACAGCATGAACTTTCATTCAATATTATTCGGTAATTCCAAGTTGAATATGCACGATCACTTTGACTCCTTTATCTGTATGTAGCTTTTAATTGTAATTATGGAACAGGTTAGCTATCTTTCAAACCTCTTGAATTAAGTACTCTTGAAATTTCTCCATCAATGCAAAGATATAATACTGTAGATGAACTACCCAAATTTCAGCGATTGCAGATAGGTCGTACCAGGATAATGCACAACAAGCAATCTCAACAATTTAATGCACGAGGGCTACCATCAGGTATGTCGATGTCCAACCGGAGTAAACCACAGTATATAATTTAAATCTTGATCGTTATGCTTTGGCTTGCACGAGATCTTGGTGAACCTTCAATACTTATTAATCTTGATCTTGACTGCCGGTACTAGTACAACAAAAAGTCATCGAATTAGCTAAAATGATCATTAATGTATTCTACCTATGAATTTGGGTGTAAACAACTATATTAGATGTGTCTAGATGATAATTTGTTGCTAAAAGCAATATTGGAAGTAGCTTGTAACCTTGGCAATTCTAAAGTTAGGGAGTCTTGAGTATCTAGCGCCAAATACACGCTCCGCTTACTGCTATATAGTCTCTGCGGGCCTGCTCTATTTTACTACTATATACTCACTTACGTTATACTATTTCAGTAGTAAGGTAGACGTGGTCGTAACGGAGTTTTGATTGATGCGGTACTAGAGTCATCTCTTTGCTCGGTCACGGTTCGGTACGGTACAGTACAGTACAGCGAGTATCGATCCGCTCGATGCTAGCGTGCCTTGACTGGGGTGCTCGTACAGCCCTCACGATTCATACTGTCTTCTATAGTAATACAGGATGCAAGGTGTGATGAGCAACAGCAAGACCTCGACCTGCTTCAAAGATGGACGAGAAATCACCATGCTTAACTTTACCTGACATAATCCCTTATTTGCATAAGAAAGTTAAATTGCAATTGATCGATGGTAGCTCGAGAACTGGATGTGTTTATACCATTGACCCAGAATCACTTAGTATCATACTATTCGATAATCTACTCGATCAGCAGCAACAGATCAAGTTGATTATGGGCCATGCCATTGTCAATATAACATTGCTTGATGATCAAGATTATGCTCCATTAGCTAACCAGTTACAACAGATATTAACAATAAAGGATCAAGAGGTGGATAAATACGATCATCAAACCGTTAAACAACGAAAAAATCGATTAGTAGATTGGTTAGGTCAGAGTCGAATACCCTTCCAATTGGATGGAGATGGTGTATGTATTGTCGGAATTGTAATGGTTAATCCACCTTTCGACAGGGATTCATGCAGCAGTAGCAACGAAATTGCATTACGTCGAGTACAAAATATAATCCAAAATTTTCTCGATAGTGAAGAGAAAATGGAATCAGGATAAACTGAAATAGGCGACTATTGCTAGTCATCAAAGTAATATAATTCAACTTAAATTATGAACTCATCAGTCTTATGGTAGCAAATACGTTATACTACAAGGGCTTTGAATTGTAAGATATGCTTGTATGATAATATGCTCGGATACATGCTAACATTGTTTGCAAACCTTCATTTTGGCATAAATTAAGACCATAATGTATTTCTACACATTGCTTTAAAAAATATTTCATGCTTATTATGCTTTTATGTAGATAGAATGAAGTTGTAATACAGAATAGACTGAACATTGTTATGTCTCTGTTTATGTTCTCTTATTTCATATTGTACAGCTTACCAAGAGAAAGAAATCTAGTATAGTTTATTTTATCATAATCCTTACAAATTGTGTATTATAATCATTTTTAATCCAATAGTTAATTGTTATATTGTAGTTACAGTCTTATTTATGAGTATCATGACGTAATTTTACGACTAGAAAATTGTCCAACTAATACAGGATACTCTGAATCCGTAATTTAAAAAATTCCTTAGACATTTTTATTTTTGAAGGGTATCACACTAGTGCGGTATATCATGGTCTTCAATAATACTATTGTGGTTCTGTAACTATTGCAGGAATGATGTTGACAATGAATAACTTTGACAATAAGGAAATAAAATTATATCATTGTAGTACGGGATTGTCTGAGTTAACGGTGTTGGTTGAAATAGCGGATATTCAGTTTTTATTAAATAACAACTTAACACCGTTTCCTATTAACTATTTCATGTTTCACTTATTATCTGAGATATTTATATACAATTAAATAAGACAAGTTAAAGATACCAGCAGACAAATTTTAAGGCGTGAAACTTAATATCTGCGATTAGATATCCCAATCAATTCTTCCCTCCAGTAACAATGCTGTTCTTTCTGAGCACTTTTGCGAAACTGACTCCAAATTATGCTGTTTAAAATAATAGACAACAATGATACGATATAAGATTGATTTAACATATTGTATGGTGTAATTTGCTACTTAAATGCTAAATCTGCAAATTCATTTACTGCAGTAACCCATCTAGAAAAGGTATTATTAGTATAGTATAGATACAGGCATATACCAACCCTTAGGCTCGTTACCTGTAGAACATGAAGAGCGCGAAATGTCGTAACGACTAACTCGCAAACGCCGTCACCAGTTAAGTCGATATAACAACACGAATAAATCGGCTCAGAGAAACTATGTTGATATATTAAGTCCAAAGATTTATACGGGGAGCGAGCCTTTTCCATCAAAGTCTCATCGGTATCTTCAGGTATAAATATTTAGAATTATTATCATCACCATGTATCAATTTCTAAACAATACCGTCTGTTTTCGCAGTTTTACCTACTACAATTATAATAATATCTAACCATTCAATTTACTGTTACGAAGTGCGCTGTATTTTAAAAAATGAAATCAGCACTTTCTCACCGTCTTTACTTAAATTAAAATAATTATCTAAACGTTTATAAACCAAGAGTTCCTAGTTAATAACGTACAAAAAATAATCTTAATATGCCCTCAATTTCAAAAATAATCTATTCGATGAATTAAAATATTCTAATGCTTTAAAGTTATATTTGAGTATGATATACCTGCCCGTAGCTACCAAGTATAATTTCATTCTTACCATCCCAATCAATATCAGCAATATAACTACACAAAATACAATCATATTCATTGGATCCTGGCAATACCAATGGTAGATTAAAACCTTCTGAACAAACATCTCTGTTAAGATGAAAATTTAAATCATTCAGACGAAAAAGAGACAATAGTACATGTACTTTGATCAGTTTACTATTTTAAAGTTACTATGCATTTCAAGTGAAATAGAGTTTTACGCACTCGTAGACTACGCTTACGTCGGTCGAGCATGCGACCAACAGCGAGTATCGACAAGATTCTTCATTATTTTGGCTTTTATTTGAATAATCTTGCAGCGAACCTTTTAAAAAAGTAAAGAATATCTAATATTACCTACTAACGCTAATCGTAGTAGATACCTATTATTTTTAATGTACTGTAGTACAATTACTTTTAATTTTAGAGCCGCAGTATGCTTCAGATTCAAAGGTAAACAAGCGAACAGATGAAATAGCTCCTTGGTGTTCAATAGTCCAAGATTGAATTTGTTCTGTAATCAATCGTTCAGAATCATTGTGCAATCCAGCCTTAAATTTCGCAATCAAAGTAATTAATCTTTAAAAGTATAGTAATGTCCATTTATCTTACGATTTGTTTGCAAGTTCGATATTGTAAATTTAACGTATCCATCCTGGCCTCCGACTGCTGTATACCTTCTCTGCGATGTATGCTGCGAATCGATCCAAAGGACGCTTGTAATAAATTAAAATAAACTATTAATCATCTTAATTTAATGATAAAATTACTGAAATTTAAAACCTTTACGTGCGTTATTACAAAAACTACATTGAATAGATCAAATTAAAAATGTAACTTTACTCGTCTTGTAAATTTTGAAATTCTGGAAGTTGTGCGGCTAATGTTGATTTATCAAAGTCCCCATTAGGATCCTTAATATAAATTAGTGATTAATGTAGTACAAAACCATTGAACAATTTTACAGCTAGATGCTAACCTTTACAAAAACATGGACTGCTTTGTTAACATCTGATAATAGGATGGCAATCTCTTTCACTCCATCCCTACAAATGCTAGATATTTCCAATATTACGGTTAGACCTTGTATGTTTAAGTTACAATTATTCGAACAAAGAATTATGGCAATGTCATTACTTTCCAACTGATCTATGAGATTATGATTACGTTATTCAATACCTCTATCCTTAATTGTTTACTAGGAAGCAATGTAAATTCTCTATGATAGTCTAATTAATGTGTTTACAATATACGAGGGTTTCATACGGTATGCTCGAATTGTCAACTTACCAAATATGATTGAGGTGTAGAGGTGTAAAGGATAAACCTAATTTTTGGCCTGTACCTAAGAATAATAAATCAATCTATGAATGAAAAATACAAGCCTAACAATTATCAATGAAGAAGATCGCAAAGCTGACGAGAGTTTCGCGTCAATCTCTCGCAAGTTTGTAGGCAATGCTATGAAATACGAGTATTTATTCGTGAAATGAATGACGATTATTTTTAAGAATATTCAGTCATACTAGCTAATTCTTCCATCTTTAGATCACTTGATTTATCACTGTGTGCTACATAAATAGCAAGAAGAGGTTGAAGTGGACGAATTTTTTCAGGTGTATTAATATCAATATCCTCCATCTCTACACTTCCAGGCATTAAGACCAATGTTATGACAACTTGATTTTGAGCATTATATTTATTGAATGAATCAATAGCAACCACCTCAAACATAGCTAACACATCAAAATTCTATAGATTAGTTCTCTAGTTACAACAGCATTATATCCTGTAACGCAATGCCTACTTACTGCATAAAGCATTGACTAATAGATGAACTGTGGAAAAAAACATTGAGAAATTCAACATCTTGCAATATCACTTACACGATGAGACAGTGCTTGGTAATGGCATTTCATCACATATACATTTAAGTTGGTTTCCTCGCGTTTTATCATATTTTACACAAGTAACTGGACCGTCTAAAGATGCAATAAGAACTTTTTTATTTATATTTCTATTTAAAGATAACACTGCTGAGCCATAAATATTCGTTTGCGACTCTAATGAGATTAAATTAATATGCTCGAAATTTCTCCAAGCTGTAGCCATGGAGGCCATGGAGGGTTGACTTGTAGAATTAGGTTAGCACTGCGCCCGCGTAGCCTGAGGCCCAAGTGGACATTTGTCTGTCTGTCCGATCAGAAATATTTATTATTGATTTTGGATCTATATTACAGCTTGTGGACAAAGAATCTGCTCAAAGATCGCAATAGAATACTCTAATACTATAGATCGGTATCAGAATTGCAATAAAATACTCCAGCATTGTAGAAAGATTTTATTTTATATTAAGAGAATAATAGATTAATCAAGCTCTTACAGATAGCAACATCTGCAAAAAGAGTTTGTCGGGAAGTTGCATTCAAAACTAACTCAAACACTACTAAAATATCTTCAATTATTATGTAGCATAAATATAATTAATTATTTGAAGTGAATGGCTGGGATACTCTATCGGTATACCCATAATTAAGAGATACTAGAAGCATCAATACGCAAAAAGATCTTATACTCTATTAAAGGAATTATAGGCAAAATAATTTGTTACAGTCAACAGCTTCTACAGAGAGAATTATTGTGTACGTGAAAGTATAATTAATTATAATTATTTTAACCGAATGTCTAGATACTCTATCTGTATGCCTACATTCAATAGATACTAGAAAGGTTCATATGGAAAAGATCTTGTACTCTATTAAAGGAATACTAGCCTAATTGATTTGTTGCATTTAAAAGCTTCTACAGAAAGAAACTATACAGAGACTGCATTCAAAACGATCCTAAATACTATAGAGATCTACAATTATTATGTAGTATAAGGTTTTAACCTAACTGCTGAATACTCTATCTGCATATCTACAGTCAAGGGCTAATCGAAAGATGAATATATTCCCTCAATTTGTTACAGTCAAGAGCTTCTGATAAAAGAATCTATATAAAGATGCTTCAATATAATTTCAAATTTTGTAGTAAAACCTTATGTTATAGGCCAATCAATAATTGTTCCATTAGCCGCTTGTAGATGCAAAAAAAAGTTAGAGATGGCGTTAAAATGAGTATAAATGCGGTACAACAGCCTTGTATTATATCAAATATGTCAGATATTTGTAATAAATACGCGGAAAAGTGCTGATAGATAATTACTACTTTATTGCTTAGGCACGTACAGAAGTAGTAGCAACAGCTTTTATAAGAATTTTTGCTGTCACAGTAAAGTGAACGAGTCGCTAATCTGCTACGGACATATCTACAGCATATAGTGTCCGAACGTATAATTGAGCATTCTTATTTCATACTAATTAAGTAGAAATCATGAATTTATATGAGATGATTATCTTTTCAAGCTGGATATTAATAGTCGCAGATTATTATATTAATCGCGTAAAACAGCTGGCATGAGCTTAATTAGATAATTGATGGAGATAAAAATGGTCTACTCCGATTTCTTTCAATATAAGGGGAAAGTAGCCTAGATGCTAATTTAAAACAATGAAGCAATCGCATGAGGGCATAATTTAATAGAATAACAATATCTTACTTCGAATATCTCATCTTAAATATACAAGTGCGTAGTAAATTTATATAAAAATTTTTATCTTGTCATTGGGATATTATTGTAAAATGATATCCATTTTAGTGTTTATAATTAAAATAGTCTAGACTATTATCAGCTTTGTGAAATTCACCATTAGTATTATGGTTAAACATTCGAAAATAAAATATTACAGATATTAGAAAGGCTTGATCATAATACAAATAAAGATAACTTTGTTTTTGTAATTCCTAATATTGTTCTGCATTTGATAAATCTCGCAATTCTTGTTCCAAAAGGTGCTTTCTTTCTTCCGGTTGATGATCTTCTACGACTTTCTCCTTTTCACTATTTGTAGTTAATAAATTAAAATACAAAAAATTAGATACTTTTAACAAAGCCATAGTATCAAACTTGGGAATTATGTATGAGAATAAAACAACTTCGTTAAATCTCGGTCCAATAATTTACAAATTCTTACTAATTTTCACTTATAAAGTATATAATTTTGTTTCTTACCCGAAGTTATATATCAGAATAGCTGGAAACATAAGACATAAACCTCCAATACTAAACCATAAGGAAGTTGATAGATGAGGATGCCACTGGAATGGTCGTTCATTAAATAAGGTCCAAAACAAAAAGTTTAACGGAGTCACAACAGACTAAAAATGAAAATTAGAAGTTTGGTGTTTTGTACGCTCGTATATGATGAATCAATAAAGAGATAGATTATAATTATCTATATGATTAGCTACGAAATGTGACATAACTATGCAATCTATATTTGAAATCGGTCACTTACCGATACCATTGCAGCGAGGGCAGCTCCTTCGGAATATTGAATTAAAAGCAGGCTGGATGTAAAATTTAAGATATAGCACAACATGAAAATAGTACCACGTACTCCAGGCGATGGAGAACAACCTGATCCACCAAAAAAACATGATATAGAGAATACCCAGCTATAATTTGATAACCCAATTTAATACATTATTTGTAAGCAAATTAGATTGATTTGCAGATTGTATTTAAAACATCAAATACTATAAGCACCGTTCATTTAGTAGTTATGAGTTATATTTAAATTGATATTATGATAATATAGGAAATCTTTAAAGCTAAATTTCTTTAGAAAACTTTAAATGCATTGCCTTCAACATAACTATGAGTAAATAATTTTATACGTATAAATACACATGGAGTAAGAAATTCTTTGTAAAACTGCTAAACAAGGCAGCATTCCATTATTAGATCATAATACCGTCAGATAGAAAGATAAGTAAAGAACAATACAAACTTGGATTAAGATTGTGTGACCTAGACTTCTTTAGTACATTGCCCACAAGATATACATTAAAAGACTAAACTAAATCACTATGGTATCTTATTTATGTTACAAATATTTTGTTTGGATGCTATAGTATAGATGATAATGTCGAGAAATAGCAAGACAGACGAAAAGAATCGGAACTAGAATCAAAACTATGTTATCTGAACAATATAAAAAATTGATCAAATCAAAGCCTACATCGAATTAATGCTAACGTGCCTTTTAGCAAATATCTCAATATTAGGTTGATCACCCCAATGAGGAAGAAAATCCGTCCAAAAGCAAAGGACAATAATAACCAACTGATATAACTTTACCCAAGTTAAAAACCAAAATATATTAACGGTTTTATCTTGATCGAGCTTTAGTTTCAAACTAGCTTCCATGAAGATAATGGAAATTGTGCCTGGAATCTAAATGATGAAAAATGATTGTGTTATGAAGGCCGCTGTATTTTTTTAGTAATATTGACTGCTTATGATGCGAAGCTTAAATATCTTAACGCTAGATACTTGATTTGCAATGTTTGTTAAGCTGTAACGTACTTACCAAACCTGTTATATAAATAATAGGCCAAATAAATGATGGATGATCATTAGATACTTCAGATATGTTCTGTTGATGATTGGAAGTAATGGTAAACATGGTAGGAATTAAACAGACAAAAAGGGCTACTAAGACCATACCAGCACAGATAAATTTCAGTAACGTTGGTCTTTTGCGTAAAAAGAAAAATCTAGTAATTTAAGATATTGAGTTAAGAATTAGCCAAGCAAGCTAGACAGAATATAATCACATTTTACTGACGAGATGATGATGATGTACCAATTACAATCAAATATAAATAATTAATTGATAAATGATAAATTAAAAATAGAGGATGAAATCTTATTAATCTTTCTTGAAATTTATAATAGGCATGGATTACGTAGTATGCTATAACTTTAGTACTAGAGTTTGGAATATACCTATGGTACTCATTTTAAAATTATGTTATAGTCAATTACAGTGGATAAATTGTCTAAGTCTAACCTGAAGAGTATTGTCAAGGGTATAACAACAGTCTGTAGAATCGCTTGCAGATGAGGTGGTGTTCTTGTGCCGCTACTCGAATAAACTATCAATAAACCATCTAGAGCAGACAGTGATGCAACTAGCAAGATATATTTGCTAGGAAACAGTTTTCCGAGTGGATTAATTTCTTCTGGACGTGTAACTTTGAGAAATAACGTGATAGATCCAAAGAAAAGAAAGAATACTGATAAGGAGAACGTTAAAACGAAGTAGCTATCCATTTTTAACTCGGTAGAATTTCCGTCAGTGTTTTCAAATGATGAGTTATCAATCGTGGAATCGATCCATAACGGCAAGGTAATACTCTGCCCTAGTTGACCAATTATGGATAAAATGGCAAAAATTGCGTTAGCTATGGTCGAATTGCAATGTAAGATTCCCAGCTTAAACTGAGGATTATTTGCCATATTTTATATCGGCTGGTATATAAATTTCATTCGTTCACGATAAACTTAAAGTAAGTAAAGTCATAGATTATAAACTAAGTAGTACTTAAGGAATGATCATAAAGTCAACATTGTATTTTATAATTGAGAAGGCAAGTGAGTTCAATACATTGAATATAGATTAAAGCAGTAACACGACAATAGGAAATTATATTCTGTTAGTGTATATAATTAATGAATATGAAGGATAAATTATAAGAGACGATGGAATAAATATATATAGATCATATTGTCAACAAAATAGCTTGATCTACAATGACTTTTTAGGGTTTGTATAGAAAATAGATCATGTGAGACAGATTATCATAATCGTGATTCATTTTGTTTATTTTTCTTCCTAATAAATGCTTTTCAGTACAGTATAACCTTTCCTGTCAAGTTATTTGATGTAATGTAATTTAATCTATAGTAGCAGGTAAATAAATTTCTACGGCTCGTTAGCATAGCTAGGCAATGATGCTATCTGACCATCAAGTTACTCCGAACAGATTTTACCTGAGTGGTTTGATAATATTTCCATAGTAATAATTCCATTATTTAATGCTGTAAATTTTCTTGGAGCATAAATATTTTCGATCTTACAGTTATCCGGGTCCAATTTGTTCAATATGAAATAGGGATTTCAAACTATATCGACGAGCTAATGGATATTGGTGATACTATATGAGCAACATGTATAACTATTATGGATTAGTTATCGATAATTTCTAGTGTTTTAATATATATCCAGAAGTGATATAATATTTCAGGAAGGTTTGTATTGAGTGATATGACACTTACCAATACTATATACCTAAATCAAATGATTACAGTACTGAGCTAGAAATAACTCGGTTAAAACCTAAGCCGTACTTTCTGAAGCTATAGAGACATACTTTTAATCACAATACGATATGGCATCTTTAAATGAGATTATAATATAAAATTTATATATATATATTAGCTTGAAATATACTGGCACATGTATAACAGTCTATAAATGTGCGGAGATTAGAGTTCAGCTAAATCAAGAAGTCAAATATCGTTTGGCTCCCATATCTAGTTTTAAAATTCTGCACTTTAATTTATCAAAATCGCTCTTAATTGAAAATATTTACTATCGGTACACAAGACATTATGTAAGGTATTTATACCTGTTCATAGTCTGAACGGAAATGGAATCTCATTACAGTATTACTGAACCCTTCAATTTTTTAAATAGTCTTAATATCTTACTATGTCCATGCCAATAGTCATCGATATAGCTAGTTATTCCAAGTTACTGCGCAGAAAGTTCATATTGTTTACGTAATGCTTGAAGGTATATGGCCAAGCAAACATAGCAGTTTACGCGTATATACGAACAGATTATTGCAAATCATGGAAAGTACTGGTATATGCGATGTATTGATATTGTTCTTCAAGATGAAGAAACTCGAATTTCTTATCCGATAAAACACCAACTATCTCTATTTGTTTAAAATTGAACCTAGTAATTACTATCCAGTACCTATAAACAGAAAATTCCATAATTACAGTAGACACGAACATGATACTAACATTATTATCTATAGAACTGGAAAATTTCGGAAAAGAAATGCAGATTTTTGTATACTTTAAACTATAGAAATTATTGTAATCTCGATACTAAAGTTATTTTCTTTAGGTTTATTAGCTATAGAAACATGAAGGCTTTAATACTAGCATATAAATTGTATAAGGTACAGTCTGGCATCGATTACCATACCATAATGAAAACAATCTTATCAATAATCTGTCCTACTGTTAATTCTATAAAATTCAGCTTAAATATACAAGCCATTTAGCTATCATTATAAATTATATAAGATATCCCACTGTCACGGTGCTATTTCACTATAGTGTAGCTTAGCGATGTTTAGTGACATGTTTTATTTAGATTATGAGATATAGTTCTGTGATAAAGTGTCTTCTCAAAATAAATAAAAGAAGAATTACAATTTCTTGTAAATTTTACTTTATTGTATATATTTGGCTCATCTTGCAACCACGAAGGGCTATCTACTTGCAATTAGACTATCTAGACTATTACAGGATAATACATCGTTTATATACGCGTATGCAATCAGCGACAGAATGACTTTTCCTTAACACAATCATGTCTTGCCAATTAAGTAGCAAGATCAGTTCTAAATTTACTATCGCCTCATCTATTCATAATTTGCGCCTCTAATTAAGCGTCACAATGTAAATCTCACAGAACTAACATACTTAAGCCAAGCTATATTTATCTCGGAATCTTAATATCAATAAATATGTCGGCAGAATTACTACCATACGTACTGTAATCATCTTCTACAAATATACATTTACACAATCTTACAATCGTGGGCTAATTTGGGGCTGTACTACAAGTTTATACTGTTCTTTACACATCTTGTGCCATAATATATGATTGCGACTAATTCATATTAGATTATATAATATGCCTTGATGATTGTGTGAATAGACATAATGTAATCTAACTGACTTGTATTAGTAATCAGATATCTATGTCCTTCAAAGCTTCAAGATCACCGTACTAATTGGGCTATTAGCTATAAATTTACTACCTGACTTTTAGGCGCTTTCGACACTAATAAAAATTCCTAGTTACTATAAAAAGGTATAGAGGCCCGGGATTTTATATCATAAAGCGAGTTATTAAGCGTAATGTTTCACGTTGTTGCCATACTCGCACGAATGCTTTACAAATATACGAGCATAGCGCAAACTAGCCATCATTTGATTTACTTTGATCCGAAGCGTAAATATTGCGTTGTAAGGATAGTGCACCATTCATGAGTGCATTATTAATTGATGGGTATAAATAAATTAAAAGAAAGAGATTAAACGAACAGTTGATAGGATGATATCTCTCATGAGCATCACGTGAATATAATAGCGGTAGTGTTGGCCATAACGCCTTATTTGCGAGCATACTAGCTATCTAAACACCCGTTAGATATCGTGCATGTCAATAATATCGTTAGAATAAATTATTATTTGCCTTTTGTTATACTACTGGCGTAAAAAGCTGTCAATTATTATTACAACAAGGCAAAACGAGCCGGTTTTTTTTGCTTTAATTAATATCATTTTGATAGGACATTTTCTTTTCTCACTAGAAAAAAACAATAACATCAGTAAGACTAGCTTGATCTAGGGATATTTCGATACAATCACTTGAGTTAATATGGTACTAATAAATAGTAGAAAGAAACAACTCGCTTTAGGACCAGTTCGATGCAACCTGTTGCTAGCCAATATCTTTTTTGCTGCTCTATCTGTTATTGGCCAAAGTGGACAACTTATTTCTTTACCTTTATGGGTCGATGCTACTGAACAAGTAGCGAAAAATAATGCTTCATATGATATAGATAATATAACTGAAAATGGCAATCACACCCATCTATCTATGGATAGCTATTTCGTCGTGTCATTCGCTTCTTTTTGCTACGTTATTTTTTTCGGAGCAATAACGTTAGCTATAAAGTTTATCAAACCGGGTGAAATTGGCGAAGCTGAAAGAAATTTTCCTCGTAAAAACCTAATCGTTGTTGGTGGTTTTGATGCTGCTAATGGGTTATTAGTAGTTTTTGCTAGTAGTGGAACGAGAACACCACCTTATTTACAAGCTATATTACAAAACGTTTCTATACCTCTAATTGTCATAGTCAGGTAAGGATAAATTAATTTATTTGATGGATACACCATTTTAAAGTATAGGCTTTTTGTTTATGTAATGATATAGAGATAGTACCGTACTAATAGAATATCATCTACTGAATTGATCATAGTACACAGTTTACTATACTTTTATTATTAGCTATTAAAAATTTACGAATCAGTGATAGGAATATTGTTGCTGGTGAAGATTAAATATATTAAGGCTGCTAGTTAACGAGGATGATAACCGATTAGTTAGTGTATCCCACTTTGCATTATTGGTCTTAATCATCTTTCATCTTTATGCCGTTCTAACCAGTCGTTGAAGAATAATAACAAAATTCAAAATAGTTAGCTTAATAGAGTAATAGCAATAGTATCTACGGAGTTAGTAATTGCTTTATCGTCCATAGGATCGAACATTTTCATGTGTCATCATACTTGTAAATAGAATATGCAGAAAACATTAAACATCGCTCATATAGTGCTGGTCATTATAGGCAACATGTTATCATAATAATAACCCTGATTATTGTAATCTATAAAAATAGTTACAATTCGAAAATTGAATTTATTGAACAGATACCTGTTGTTGCATAAGAAGCCAACACTGAAAAAATTGATTTGCACCGTGGTTGTTATGTTGTGTCTGTTTATTTGCCTTATACCTAAGATCTTTCCTTCCATCAATGGTAAAGCACAACATCATTTGCCTCATGCTGCTACTGGTGCTGCAGCAATTATTTGGCCTATTATCTTTATGATTGGATTTGTGAGTACTGTAACTCTAGCTTACATAATATTTCAATTGCTCAAGAAAAGCAAAGATTTTTATGAAAGTTAATTAAGCTATAATTGACTAATTAACACAATAGCTCGCAATAGTAAGCCTGCCTTAGTTAATTTTAAATTTTTATTATCGTAAGATACCTGCCGCCTTTATGAATGCTTATGAAGAAGCTGGTTTAAAGATGAAAAGTCCAAATGAAAAGCGTGTCAATGCTATATGGTATTTAACCTGGACATCATTTTATCAGCTAGTGACCGTGGCCCTCTTTTTCTGGCTTGATTTTCTACCATTTTACGGCAATCAGCCAGACATTCAAACATTTGGTCGAAGGTAATGATAATATCATAGAAATACTCAACTGACATACTGTATAGTGTACAGTACACTGCAACGATAATATCTAATTGCTGCATCTGCGACATTATTGAACATCTGGTGCCCACCAAAATGATAAAATATTAAATAATATTGGCCATAATCCAACGTAAACAGATCAGCTGTTAGTTATGTATCTAACATTAAAATATTTAACTTTAATTCTAGTTTGTTAGATTTATTACGATTATATGAATATTTACATTACCAGATTCTGTTCCATAATAACCGTATTCTATCTTTTCAATACTTGATTCGCTACAGTATACAATTTACGATGATCAGTGTTACTAAAGTCATTATTATTTTCTATTCCTAAGTTATGCCTTCGGGTTATCATGCTTTTTTGGCGGTTCTGGTTGTTCAGCTGCACCTGGACTAAGAGGAACCTCATTTATCCTCTTTTACATTATAAACTACATTGGTGGTAGCTTATTAATGCGTTATGCAGAAGGAGCAACTCTGTTGGCTATTGTCGGCGTAAGTAATCATTACATATTAGAACCTGGAAGCCTTGTATGTCCATTTTATTATATTATAAACTGTAAGACAAGCGATGCTACAATAGAGAAAGTTTAACGGTGCATAAAATATTCATAATTGTGAATTTTAATCTCGTACTATGAATATGTACGAAATTATTAGGCTACCAAGCACGAATTGATAAATCAAAGTACCATTTTGAGTTATAGAAATAATTGTTGCAATATATAATTACAAATAACTTTATAAGCTCATATTTACGATAATACTGCTCGTTTATTAGGCGTTAGTAACACCGATTGGTTTCATCTTTTGGACGTTATTTCAAGAAGAGCCATTCATGTTTCATCCGCACGTTTCTAATACAACCTGGTTTAGCCTTGCTGGTATAATCGTCATGTTTCCAGCTTTGATTATCTACAATATGGGGTAGGATATCTCGGGATCTAGAGATTGCTAGCTATTTTAGTTAAATTGTATTGCTTCATGCATAAATTCTATTTGATTGAGATATTTGCAGTATTACTAAAAGATGTTGTGGGTTCCATTTTTGAAAGCTTATTAATCACTCATTAATTTTCTTGACTATAGTAAAAAGGAAATCGATATGACTAACCGCGATGATACTGATTCCACCGCTTCCTTGATGGGATATGATAAACTGTAGTGATTTCAGCTAATTACAGTAGTTTTGTGTAAACTATCTAACAAATCATTATAATCTTCTTTCCTAATGAACCGATTTAAAAGTATCTATCAATCATGATATGTACGAATCTAAAGACTTTAAAGGAAATTATATCTCTACTTAAGGTGCAATTCTTCGGATGCTAATGACATTCCTTGTAAAAAAACTTTCTGTACTAGAGCATGGATTCGAAAATAATTCTTGTGTCTGTAACTACAATCATAGTTTATCCTATATAATTATTCCAGTGGTAGTTTTTATTTTATCCAATTGGATATAGATAATAAATTTAAAAATTATTGTCTATCGATCCAGATTTTAGTCATTAGACTGCAAACGACGACTTTTTGTATCATAAAACGAGAGCTTGCATTATTTTAATTACAGCTATCCCAATTCTTTAATGAATATTTTACAGTTTAATTCGATTTTTTCTAACAATAAAGACTCACAAAATTTTAATTATAATCTTTAATTTTTAAATCAATTAAATTCTGATGTTTCACATTTATCTTAAATTAAAGATTCGCTGTTATTATTAAATTTACATTAATTTAATCTTCAAGAACAGCTGTAGATACTCTCCATTAATGGTATAGAGTACCGTTCTTTGGTAGTAATTCTGAATACATTCTAATTTTATCTTTAATGCAATTTTGATATCATATTGTATGATAAAATATATTATGAGAGTAAAATAAGGAGTATGCAGTAATATACTGTACGATACGTATTATCGAATATGTAAATAGTCAGATTCAATTATTATTGTATTCTCCGTCGCGTGAACGAAGCTGCTCCCTGAAATTATCTATTTACTGCAGAAGGTCAATTAGGTGAAGATTAAATAAACTATGCAAGAGCAGTGTTTACTGTAGTTCAGCATTAGTTTACTGCTCAGTAATAGTTGCAATATGAAGATCATCGATAATTAATTCATAATAATACATTACTCAGATATTATATGCAACTGGGTACAATTTACAATAGGAATTAACAATCAAAAATTTTAGCCACCACGTCAGAACAATTTCCGATAATTTATTTTATAACTTATAACGTTATTGATTTCCATAGAAATCCTGTTAAACCGTGTTTTATTCGATGAGTGGTATAAAAACATATCTATGAACTGGAAAAGTTTCGAGCCTTTAAAGATCAAGGTATGTGTTGCTTATATTGACCTACTATCAATACCTGCCAAATACGAATCAAAACGGCCAGTTACGTGCTGATTTGATATAGATAATATATGTCAAATATTGCGTATCTGCATATGAATTTCGAATAAATCGTTGTTTATACTATTTCAACACCTAAACCACTTCGCTATCAGTACGAAATATACTTTATATCCGTTCTGTGAATATATCGTGTAAATTAGTTATTACTTAATTCAGTTAGATCAGTAGCGCGAATAGCGCTTTCAGAGGGTAGTCCACCATTCTTAAGAGCATCATCTATAGATCATAATACGCGGACTACTATAAAGAGATCAAATAAATAGTTGACAGTGTTATATTTTCATGGTTATCACGTCAATGTAGAAGAAACTATAACGTTAGCCACTCGCATTCATCCCTATACTATACACTCAGTGATTCTCGAGGGTAATAAAAATCTTGGTAGAATTAATTATTTTATGTAATACTGTACTAGAGACATGTAAAGGGCATTATGGTTGGAACAAGCGCCATTTTTTGCTCTAGGGCTTTCATGTCATGTCAATTCGAATAATTTGTTTTTCTCATTTAAACAACATCCCGTGGAACTAGAATGCCACCATCTTATTTGCAAGCTATACTAATTAATGTAGGTATACCGCTAATTGTCATAGTCAGGTAAGGATAAATACTGATTTGCATAGAACACATTTCAAGGTATAACCTATTTTACTTGTACAGAAGTGTCATGCTTAGGATTGTAATGGCTATTAATTGTCTATTTAAGACTACAATTTCTTTTCTAATAAATAGATTTGGAAGTAACTATCATATTAATGTATGAAATCTATAAGTTGGATAGGATATCACATTCCCATCTAAGGAACAGTCATTTAAATAGCTGGATGTAATACTTTGCGAATGACATTTTTATACTAAAATATGAATTTATGAGTAACTTTTTGTCTTATAATAATATTAAATAATCCGAGTTTATTTTCAATATTTATCATTATAATACTTTTTAGTTTTAAGCGAATATGAATTAGAGTAATGAACAATTAAATCACTTGTTTATATAGATCCGGATTTTAATTACTGGACACTTGCTAGCTCTTTTATATTATGTATTAAAGGCCTGCCAAACTGTAATTACTGCCATTATGGTACTAAGAAATCGTATAAATTTTTAAACTTTATTCCGTTTATACAACAAAGACTTTGGCAAAATTTTAACACCTTTAGCTTTTAAATTATTCAATACTTATGTTTAGCATCTACGCCAAAATAAAGATTTTCTTGTAGTATATTATATGCATTCTAGATAGTCTAGAATAATAGCTAATGGTACTCCTCTTTAAAATGAGATTAAAAGGTAATAACTGCCCATGATTAATCCCTAGTATACTATATTATGATTTAACCATGTTAATACAAATTGTGATGATTATACTGTATAATGAAATCTAGTATAAGGCTAAACATATAACCTGATTAATTATATGAGGAGACAGATTTAATTATTTCTGTATTCTCTGCTACTGGAACTAAATTGATGTTAATAAGTAGATATCACTGGTTAATTGAGTAAGGCTACCCTGACTGATATAAATATATCTAGATACCGTGCACGATACATAAAATTAGAGTTACTATTATCAAATCTGTAAAGAGACATATCAAATGTATTTATGCTAGACGTTGACTCAAATACGAGAACTGGAGTATTGCGTAAAGGAATTTATTTTTAAATCGCATATGAGAGCGAATTATAGTCAAATTTGATTTTAGAGCTGTAAAGCAGTTGTTGTAAAGCATGGCAGAAGCTACGTGTATTATAAGAAAAGAAATTATTACACAAGCATAGCTAAAGCGAAAAGTTATTAAATTTTAATCGTCAATCTGAAATTTCATCGAATAAATCAATCCATTTATATCAGTTAAAGTATTTTTATAATAAGAGAGATTAAGTCGATAAAGTTTATAATTTTAACTATTTTTAGAATTATTGAAACAATCATCTGAAATATATTAGGTATAATATTACGTATATACACGTGAGATATAATATCTAGTACATTAAGCAAATTGTAATATAATTCTTAAGTTTATCCCAACATGAAGACGAAGTAATAGTCGTAACAATCTTTAAGAATTAATTTCTGAAGTTTGATATAGGGACATAAATAGCTCTAATATAATAAATACGTAACGTAGTCAGGATAAATTAATTTATATTAATATTGTCATATAAACGTCATCTTTACAATAATCGCAAGTGTTGCAAATTTGGTTAGATCTGTACACTTCGTATATCTACCATAATTTAATTATCGAAATGTGAGTATTGTAATCATAGCAATGATCTTGATATTCTAGCCCAGGTTTATTAACTAATTTCTGTTATAACTGAATGATGAGTACAACAGAAGGAATATGTGACAATATTCAAATCTGTTATAGCAGTGAATAACGTATCGAAATAACCTAAGAAGTTGGAATAAATTGCGGTAAAGTAAAACAGAGCAAAGTTAGTCATATAACTCGTTGTAATCCGGAGGTAGAGGAGGTGCATGGCGGTATATGTTATTGCTAGCAGAGGTTGTCACTATATCAGCTTCTTCGTCACCGTAGACATAAGGTTATCAGCAAGTGATTCTATATTCTTAATTTTGATTGATTTTGCACTAGGTGCTATCATGTACCCAATACCAGATATATTTAAAGTAGTAAGTTTGCTTAAATAGTTCCTAATAAAAATCTTTGGGATGGGATTGGGTGTCCATAATCCTTCCGCTACTGCTTCATATTGATATTGATCAACGTTAGATTTGGTAATAAGGTTGTAAGTAATATTACGCGCTTGTTCTTTATCAATATCGATGGTAAATGAGACGTAATAGCCTCGAATACCTCTATTAATCCTACGCCGATCGGGAAATATTTTCCGGCCATTCAAGTTTAAGAATAAATTACCATTAGTAATTGCGTCCTCAGTTCCTTCCTCCCATGATCCAGTTAATCCATGCACTTGCCTTTCAAAGTAACGATAGACTGTATTGTTACTATACTCTAACTTGCCATCTTTTGGATCTACATAATCTTTAATATAAGGTGCTCTACTAGCATCTCTAGAAAGCTTCGATTTTTGATGAGTTAAATCAACTTTTGGTACTTTTTCAAAGCTATCAAATGGCTCACCGGCATCTTTTTGCCCATATACATATAATTCTCGACCACGAAACAGAGTGCCTTGAATTAATACTCGATTACCATTATTATCAACAACGATACATTTAAGTACTTTGGGATTTCGATTGACTAATTTAGTGATATAAGTTTGAGCAGCACACATTGGAATCGGATTTGGAGTCATTAAACCTTTGACACGAGCTTCATACCGACGTACTGTTAAATGTCGACCATCGATAAAAGAATCAATATCATGATAAGTACTTTCAACATAGTCGATTTTCTGCCCTTGATAGTTGTCCATGTTAATAGTAAAAGATATAAAATAGCCTAGGACGCCTTTATCAATTGGTAATGGGTCGGGATAAAAGGTAGCATCGTTGAATTGTAGATACAACTGTTGATTCTGTATTGCTAGTTCTGTCTCTTCTTTCCAGCATTTTTTTAATCCGTAGACCTTTCTCTCATAATATTTGAATAAAGTATTTGTACCAAATCCGAATTCGCCATCAGCAGGATTGATGTAATTGCGAATGTGAACTACGTATAAATAGATACACGTCAATGTTAGTAATACTGCTATAGTATTCATTTAGCAAAGATAATAAATATCCAATCTATCAGGGAATTATCTGAGTAGCGCTAAACCAGTTGGTAAAATATTACTGTTGTTTGTTTTGATAGAATGTCTAATAGTAGTCAGTATCTATGCTCTAAGCTGATTAGTGTAGAAAGTCTCTTTATGTTATGGTACTGATTAGTGACTACATTTAGACAAAAATTGTTATTACGTGAAAGTATGGTAACATTAGTGGTAATTCATGCCACTAAAATAGTTCTGATACAGAAGGAGAAAGATTCTAAGAGTAGTATGCATATCCAGTGTGCTTCTCTTACGGTATACTCGTAGAGGTAGTACAGCTATATTTTTTTATCGGTAACCTCAAGGTATTGCAATATACTCGTATCAAGGTTGGTTGATGGTACTGTACTGTACAGTTCTCTAGACTACACATGTACAATCAAACACTCATTTACTACTGTGGTGGATATAATTTGACTGCACTGTACCATAGGATCCTTTATGATTGTACAGATTAGGTAATTTCAACACTTGCATTTACTCGTACAATTTAATTTTAGTATCCAGCAGTTACGTTTACGTATTTCTCTCATCTTCTACTCGACAATCATTCTTGAATCGCGTAGATATACTTGGAATTCAGCAGTATAATATCAGGAACAAGATGAGAAATTCAAAATTGAAATTATCAATATGATAGATAGAGGTTTAGGCGTGTCAATATTTTGGGAGATGGCCTGCTGTCGCGTAGACTTTTCCAAAATCATTGTCCTTACAGAATAGTTACGTATACACTAACATAATCATTCGATCACAAGCAAGTTGTAACAATCGCTGTTGTGATTTTACTACCTTTAGGAGGAGGTGTCGGCGGTATCATGTAACTACAGTACAGCAGCCACAATAAATTGTGAGATAATTTTATCCGACTCTACACTAGAACTATCGTTGATCATTATTTCTGATTCATCGATTCATAAAACAGAAAATATAACCAGTTCATTCAATGCACTCTGCAGGTGCCTACACTATACTATAGTCACTTTAGTAGAGCCTATTTTATTTTACAGTATACTACAAAAACATCATTCCTCTACGGGCATCCATCCAGTATAGTCCATGTTATACATTTACTATTCTTGCTTACCTTTATTGCTTTCAGATTCATAGGCCATATTGGTGATATACCTAAGGGCCAACGCAAGACTTGGTTGAAGATTTAATAAACCAGTTAATGCCTGCCGAAGTGAGCAATGTGGTAACAGACGGACTTGAGACGCAGAGTGGTCGTATTGCACTCCATTACGTCATCGTGGCTGTTGCCATTATACTGTACAGTGTACAGTACAGTACTGTACAGTACTGTACTGTAGAGTAAAAAGCTGGGACTCTATAAAAGTAACAAGAAATGAGCAGGCTGACGATTTTGCCAAGGTCCTGACCAGGTCTAGCTAAGATTTCTGCAAGCTGCAGTGCTGTGTATTAATATCTCTCACAGATTTTCTATTAACGATCAGGCTACTATAAATATTGTATGCTGCGTCCTATCGGACTACTGAATAGACTAGTAACACTGTCGTAGTCCATGGCTGCCTTAAGGAAGCGCATTATAATCAGTGCATTAGACTATTTATACTGTTCAGTCAAGTGCAGAGACTGCTAGAAATAGACAGTACAGTAGTATTTTTCGAGCAGTACTATCTTTAACTAGAGACTAGCAAAGCAAAACAGTAGAGTCTCTAGTTCGGTACAATTTTTCTGGTCCAGTCTAGAAAAGATTGCAGTAGAACCATAGAGTGAAGAAAAAGGTTAAAAAAAAAAAAACTTTTTCTAACCTATATGAGTACAGCAGTCATAGAGGTTTATGTTATACTACAGTATATTATCATTTCCTAGGTATCGTTGACGTCATATTCTCTGTGCACTAAGTGCGCAGTACTGTTACTGCACTGTACACTGTACAGTGTACAGTGCACTAAGTACAGTACTAGGTTCTGGGCGCCTCGACCGACTGTACACTGTACTGCCAGCATTGGCAGTTTGTCACGGAAAGAACTTCGACAGGGGTAAACTTGTTTCAACCATTTCAAACCAAGCTTGCAGCAACCAGTTGAGAATTCGCTTTTTATCGTTATCGTCAAGCCATTTCCAAATTGTTAATCCATCAAAATTGCCATATTGGCGTTATTACAATCTTTACTACTTTCGATAGTAGTAGCTGGCCTATCTTATTACGTTTATTTCATTGTTAAGCGAGAACGAAGGAAATGGTATCCAAGTCTAGCTAAGCAACCTATTAAAACGATCATGGCTACGAGTGCATCCGAAGCGTCAAAGAGTATTCGCCTTCATCATAAAAGAGCTTTTGAACTCATCTCCAGTGCATTACAATTAGAAGAGACTGGAGGTTTGTTCATCCTTCAATTTACTTGTTATTCGTATTGATTGACATGGCATCGTCGTTGATGATGTAATAAAACTGTCTTCGCCATGGCTCCAAATTGAAATAACTCACAAGACTATGATCAATTCAACATTCATGTTATCGTTGTATTACTTCTCGTACAATCTATCAATTATTACCTCCACTATTGCATAGATATACTGTACATACATAGATCATCATCATCATGGATATTGAATAAGACTTTAATGATCAACACAGCTTTGGTGATAATGATGAATAACTTATCTCAAAATAGTTGACTATGGTAAAGGATATTAGATCAGGTTTTTCAAGTCGGGGTATAGTAATAGCTCATCATTCATCCAGCAATGACAGAATAACTTATTTCAAAATAATCGACCATCATAGTGGATATTAGAGCAGGTTTTTCAAGTCAGAATATAGTAATAGCTCTATTAGCTCATCATTCAGTCAGCAATGATAGGTTAACTTATTTCAAAAATAATCGACCATCGTAATGGATATCAGAGTAGGTTTTTCAAGTCGGGATATAGTATTAGCTCTTCATTCACCCAGCAATGATAGAATAACTTATTTCAAAATAGTCGACTATCATTGTAGGTATCAGAGTAGGTTTTCAAGTTAGGATATAGTAATAGCTTATCATTCACCCAGTCAAATGTTAATCAATAACGTCATCAGAAGAAAGCTGATAAAATAGAGTATGATGGCCTCCACGTTAGTATCTGTGTAGAGTCAGTAGCATTGATTGCTATAATGTTATGATATAGTTCATTCGAGAAGTGAAAAATTAGGAATTTGGATCAGTACAGAAAGGTTAATCGTAAAATAAATGACGTTAGAACATGATCAGCAAAGCCTTAGTACCAAGTATTAGGCATTATAGGAACTACTAATCTCCTAGCATGCAATCACTGCTAATTTTTATCTGCGGTATATAGTAATATTCTGTACGTCGGTCGGTACAAGGATTGATGATCATTCAGTGATCAAGAAATTGACGATTTATTATTCGTATTCATTCTTATCATCCAGGATCCAAGGAACAAGCGGCACAGTTATACCGTGATGGCATTTTAGAACTACAATTAGGTGCTTCAATTGATTATATTGCATCCGGTAAGTTTTCAATAATATCACTGTTTAGGACTCTTTGTTGGATACACTACTGAAAGATTGGTACTGTTTACCTATATGTTTTAATAACTCTAGATGCTTCTACTAATGAGGAGTGGCTAAAGGCTTCAAAAATTCGTGATAAAATGATTGAAAATTTAGCTAACGCACAGGAACGCTTAGAAGAATTAGGTTGGTCATAGTGTAGCATATTCTTCATAATTAGGCAACAAGTAATGATGCGTAATCTTTCACAAATATATCACTACACTAAATTTTGGTTATCTAAGCATCGTCATTGTTAATTCTATCACAACGTATTGTAGAAAAGTCAATGTACAATTCGTATACAACTCCACCTAAAATTGACAGCCCTACTGTTACGAAAGAGAATGGCAAAAAAGGATTATTATCTAGGTTAATGAGTAATATGAGTAATGACAACGGCTCAGTTGATGCAACGACGCCTGCCGAAAAATCAACTGGTTTACCTGTCAATTCTTATAAAAATCTGAAGCCATCAAAACGCAATATGCCCGCTGCAAAGGTCCATGACGATATAGTCTATCATTTTCGATGTACACCTTTACCCTTTCTTTCAAATATGAATTTCATTAATTAATCGATACGCGTATATATTGTTATTTAGTTAACACAGTCTCGCCCAATAAACCGTACATCGGCAACATCGTCTGCGGCAGTTAGTAAAACCAGATCTGCTGCAAGCAAAGCACCCAGTAAACCGCCTAGTACCATCAAAAGTACTGCCAGTCGTGACGTTGCTCCTAGTTCTGCTGCTAATAGCCAATCCAAGAATATAATCGCCAATTTAAAAAATGTTGATTCTGCTATAGCTCAAAAGATATTAAACGAAATTGTAGACGAGTAAGCAAATCTTCCTACGTTGGTTCATACGTATTTTGTTTTAGAATAGTCTGTAGAACTAATAACAAGTGCTATTGTTCTTAAATTTGTACCTAATCCAATTAATTCAAACTTATATTTGATCTAAATTAAGCAAACCTGGCGTCAATTTTAATGATATAGGTAATTAACCTATGCCTTTGTAAAGATTTTAGTAATTGAGATTTTTAAGTATTGTATGCTAAATACGACAGCTTTTGAAGCAGATTTATCAACATTTTATTTCAGCTGGTTTGGAGCTCGCAAAACAAGCACTTAACGAAATCGTTATCCTTCCCTCATTGAGACCAGAGGTTTGATGAATCGTGCTGTATCTATTACACTGGATTAGGTTATGACGTAATTAAATTCAATATTTCAATTTAGCTCTTTACTGGCTTACGAGCACCAGCCCGCGGCCTCTTGCTTTTTGGACCACCAGGGAATGGTAAAACTATGCTGGTATGTTAATACTGAGTAAAATATAAATTTGCCTTTCATATCCTACGTTGTAGGCTGTACCATTGATAGATAACAACGATTATATGATTTATCGATAGGCGAAAGCAGTAGCAAGCGAAGCTAAAGCTAAATTTTTCAATATAAGTGCATCATCGTTAACATCAAAATATGTATGCTTTTATTGCCTGGCTTTTTCTTAATCATTACAATTTAACTACTGTTCAATCTAGCTCAACGTATGAAAATGATTAATTTTAATACGAATAGGTTGGAGAAAGTGAAAAATTAGTTCGCGCACTCTTTTCTGTCGCTCGTGAATTACAGCCTGCAATTATTTTCATTGGTATACATGCATAACTATCGTGGATCAATATTATTTTTTTAAATTATCTAGCATAGAATTTATTCATTTCGATTATAAACCTATAAATTAAAATAGACGAAGTAGATTCATTACTTTGCGAAAGAAAAGATGGAGAAAATGAGTCTAGTCGGAGACTTAAAACGGAATTTTTAATTGCCTTCGATGGGGTAAGATCTGAATTTGTATAATTTACCACGCTTTTATTATCAGTATAATAAGCCGTTTCTAATAGAAATTATACCATTAATGAAAATATCTTATTAGGTAATGGCGTCTAGCGAAGAACGTATCTTAGTGATGGGTGCTACGAATAGACCACAAGAACTTGATGACGCTGCTCTTCGGTTGAGTACAAATGAGTTAAGATATACCGAAAGATCTATGTATTTACTACTATTTTATTTCCTATGTAAAGGCGTTTAGTAAAAAGAGTCTACGTTCCGCTACCCAGTTTTGAGGTAATTCTTTATTTTAAACTATTACATTGCATGGCTAACGTAATAGCAACTATGACTGCCATTAATATTTTAATAACTGTATCGTTTGTAGACGAGAAAGCAACTCTTTGAGAAATTGCTTGCTAAACATTCTTGTCCGCTTAACAAGCGAGATATTGGTCAGCTTGCAAGGTAGCAATTTTTTACAATATCTGGAATGCTCCATTTGTGATTAATTTCATATAATACGGCGATTTATTGTATTAACAGACTTACCGAAGGTTACTCATGTAGCGACTTAACGGCGTTGGCTAGGGATGCCGCTTTAGGACCAATAAGAGGTAAAGGGGTTGATGTCGTTCATTTTCCTATTTGAAATCTTCGATAAGCGTAGTCAAAATTCTTTTTCTTATAAACTGCTTATATGTAATCACTTTTTGTATCAGAATTAAGTCCTACCCAAGTGCAATCAGTCGCTGTTAATCAGGTTGGTTCCGCTTGTCCTAATAGATTGCGTTCAATTTTGTTCACTATAAATTAATTATTGTGATATTATGCTGGTTAGATGCGAAATATTGTGTTAAAAGATTTCATGGATTCCCTAAAAAGAATTCGCAAAAGTGTACCTCCTGGTTCCATTGCCCAATTTGAAAGTTGGAATAGTGAATATGGAGTGTCATCATAGCGTTCATATCTGTCACTTTTATAGCCACAAAAACCTACGTAATCAGGGCTCCAAACAATGATATTGTATATTTGTTGATGATGTCAATTAGAATGTCTTCTTGTAAGCCAATTATTTATCAGATACGTCTGATCGCCTGATATAGTATTATTCGATGCAACTGTATTTTAAAGGTAACAGAAAGAGAAAAAAAATAGTTTTAAAATAAGATACTTCTAAGCTACGACTGTATACTATTCTGCCCTTAGAATAATCTCATTTTTTAACTTCGTAGTCAATACGAATTAACGATATAATCCACGTGTACAGTATATCACTAACATGTTTAGATTCTTATTATCATTAAATAATCTAATCTATTATTAATTATAATTGATAGATCTATCGCAAAAATTTCATATCCTTAAATAAATCAGTCTTCACTTTTCAGTATACACAACATATGTCAATATTTTATATCGTAATTTCCTTGTGGGTAAAATTTTGGTACGAGATTATAAGTATTTTTATATATATATATACAAATGATAAGTTTAATAAGTGCGGCCAAGTGGGGGCGCGTCCCATTCTCCCACCCGATTGATAAGTCTCTGCCATCATTCCATCGCTAAGTATTGTCCACATTACAGTCCAGACGGTATGCGATTCTGTACGGGACACGGCTGCTGAAATACGCAGCCGTGTCATGTCATGACGTAGTGAGTGAATACAGTACTGTAGTACTGTAGATACCGTACACAGTCCAGTAATACTGTATACTGTACACTGTAGGGTCTGTAACACTCGTGTGCTGTACTGTACTGTACACCCCCAATTGGTACAGCTCTGGCGTACCATAATATACCTATAATAAACCATATAATATAACTATAATATACCTATAATAAACCATTTGGGCCCGTTGTCAGGAAACGTGCCGATGGAACACACAACGGTGTAGGAAAAAATTTCCATGTCGACGATCGCATTTTAAAGGATAAAATCAAGGAGAGAAAAGGAATTGAAGATAACACTGAGTGGTCCACTGTCATCTTAAGGGTGTACACTATCGAAAATGAACAACATTGATAGTGATTTTAGCTTAGTCGATTTAGAAAAAAAGATTCTTACGTTATGCCAAAGCCATCCTAAAGGACTGACGGATAGCATTCTGCAAGATGAAATGCCCAATGTCAATGTTGAACAAAGAGTTTCAGCATTAAATCGATTGCTATCAGCTGTAAGTGAATTATAATCGGCTTATATTGCTATATTCAATCAGCGATAATATGAAATGAAGTAAAGATGTTAATCAATAGCTTGAGCTTTGAGAGTTATTACCATTTCTTTCCATACAGAATAGACTTACCACTACCGATTGTTGTGTACTCTGTATTCATTTGCATTGCATTATTCCTGCTGCACGTAGTTTACATTACAGCTCCTTTACCAACGGCATCCTGTACAAGGGATGAATGAATTGGAGCAATAGCGAGACAATATGGATGCTAGAAATTGGTACTTTTAGGCTGACTAGAGGATACGATATTGCTCAGACACAGACTCGCTGTGCTGGCATGCTAGGACTAGTCGTGAATACCTTCCTTCCCATTCATAGCCCGCACGCTTAAGTACTGTGTTACCAGGGAATGCTTTCTGCCATCGAGCAAAAATGTGCATGTCTTCAAACTTGTTGTAAAGACTTTTCCAGTAATCTTTCATATACATAAGAGAAATGTTACAAAATAGATACAATAACAGTTATTTTGATGCGTCCTATATTAGACTGTGGCATCAGGCGATATTCCATGCGTATCACAGCTCACTAATCTTTATACTTTCTCTAAACTGGATCAGGATTTCTACCTTTTGCACGGTAATTTTGATGATATATTAACATTTTCCTACCTATTCATATGTCAGGGCAACTTGGATTTGTTTAAATCTGATTCTCAGCTAATCTATAAACTTAAAGATCCGGATCTTGTAAGGTATGTCCGGTCAATGATAGGCATTCTCAATAGAACATTATACCATGTTAAATATTTCTTTAACTATGAATCGATCATGTCTTTATAAATCTTGGATAGCAAAAATGCAATATGTGAAAATACACAGGAGAAATTAGTATACCAAGTTATTGGAGATGCTGGCAATAAAGGTGAGTGTAGGGCTTGGTTGCTGTTATTCTGGGATTATACGGACTTACAACGCATGTACGCGTATAGCTGAAATCCATGTACTGTAAATAAATGGTAGTAATAACTTTTAAGAAGCTGATGTAGATATTAAAATTGCTTTTGGACTATTCTCTTGCACATATCTTCGGATTTAAAATAAAATATATTTTATCAACATATCACACTATAAATGAGGAGGAGATCTACGTTGGATTCAATTCGTACTTACAAAAATATTACATCATAATGATGATGGAAAACGTAAAGAAATTTATTTTCTGTAAAAACTTCAAAGCCGGAAAATGGCATACGTAGTTTTATTTGTCAAACGTTATAAAGAATTTCATTTTCCGATACTCATGTGCATTAACTAAGTTAGGTGTTGACGTAGTGGAATCCAATGCCATTTCATTGTGTTATCCAGTAAAACTGACTGAGAGTAAGGATAAATATTTTTCGCTAACCACTGTTTAGTTCAATCCACTGCCATCACTATCGGTCATGGCGTTAGTTAGTAAAGTACATTATATATTTAGTATTTAACAATATTGTTTAAAATTTTGGATATCGAACGTATTTAAGGAGCGAATAACTGAATAAAACAAACGTTGTTTATACTTTTTGGAGAGTTCTAAATACTCAACCGTTACCCACTGTAGATTAAAATGACCCGAAAATAATAATTCTAAATTGGTATGTGATAGAATGAAGTTAATCATATTCCAAGTTACTCATTCCAGCTGTCTCTGTGTGGTACTGCTAGGAATATGGAGCCGGGATATTAGATTAAAATGCAACTTGCAAATGACACAGCTAAATAAAATCCTAAGAAATTTGGAAAGCAAGAAATTAATTAAAGCGGTCAAATCAGTTACGGTAAGTTTAGCATAGAGTTTAAAAAATCGTTATTTCATGATCTTTATCTAAGTAAATTTAAACTGCGTAGGATTTTATTTGAAAATGGCGATCCGCATTTTGCAGTAAATTTTATTTCATAATGTAATGAATATCCTTGATATCATTCCCATAACTTGCATTTTAGGCTTCTAAGAAGAAATTATATATGTTATTCAATCTTGACCCCGATATTTCAGTAACGGGTGGGGCTTGGTATAGCGATCAAGACTTTGAATCTGAATTTGTGGAAGTACTAAATCAGCAATGTTACAGATGTTTAGTACAAAAGGTAGAAGAGTCACTAAACCTATGTGTAAATCAGTAATAAGTAAACCTAGCAATCGTTAAAGCTAATGATACCTATCCTTAGGCTAGCAATTCTAAATTGAAATTAGCAAGACCTCGAATTAGTCTTAATAATTCTTTCGCCTCATCAGAAGAAGTTTGGAAAATTATAACGAATCTAAAAATAAGCAAAGTAGGTCACAGTATAATTGCATATTATGAAATGAATGTATTGCGTATTGTAAAGTTGATAAATGTATAAACCGTTAATTTTTTTATCATTGATTTTTTTAGGTCACTCTCACAGTTACAGATATCGAAACCATATTAAACACCTTAATTTATGATGGTAAAGCTGAGATGAAAATAGAAAGTGACCCTGATGGCCAAGAATTCAAGCTTTATCGTGCTGTTAAACCTATAATTGACGCAAGTGGTCTAGAAAAGACGCCTTGTGGTATTTGCCCAGTATGTTCTATTTTAATTAATAAATACAGTATTGCTGTAGCTTATTTTAAAAATTCAAGTTGCTCACCACGATTAAATATTTGATTACGGCACAACAGGTTATAGACCAGTGTTATGAAAATGGAGCAATTTCTCCTGCTACGTGTATTTATATGAAGGAATGGCTTGAATCCTAATTTATTGCTACTTTTGAAATATTCAGAGCTATAGAAAATTTATTCTGCTATAGCGCAGACTGTAAAGTATTGGTGAAGAAATTATTTCGTAATCGAACAATATCTATATTTACAAGCGATCATACAATACACTTGTACTCGATTGATATTAATCAGCTTGCCCTTTTATAATATATGATCATATTCTGGGTTGAACTGTTAATATGGTGCTAACATTGAGGCAATATCGCGGATAATATATATTTTGTTAATGTCTATGATAAAATTTTTTATGGTAAATTACTTCACGGAAATTTGTTAAAAAATTCTAATGGATGGCCTTTCTTGATCGCGTTGGATAAGGAATACCGTAATGGAGTATTCGAAATATGATGTTATGTTATGTAAAGGCATGCTTAAATATACAGCACCTTTATGAAGTTAAGAATTTTCATATCCACCAATATGTGCTTAGCACATGTAAAATATCAGATACAGTAAAACTGAAATAACAATATTTATTTTCGCATATTTGGCAAAGATTTCTTTTACAACGAACACTATCCGATATAGTCAAGATTTTAGCACTCATTACATGAAATAAAATTTACGAAATTTAAATTTGTAACTGTGTAGATCATCTCGGTATTATTACATTATAAAATCCAACATTGGATGAATTCTGTTTGATATCAATTAATTAATTATTCAATATAGGAAGCAATTATACAGTATACAATAACTGTACATATCTTGGCTACTTACATAAAGTCCTTGTCGCTTATTACAATTTAAAAAAATCATAGCCCAAAGTAAATGTACACTACATGGACAGAAATCAATATTTGTTATTTTATATTGACAAAGTGCTGTAAACAAACCTAAATTACCAAGCTTCACTCAAGCAATACGACGACCTATTACCGATGAGCAATCTATAAATATAGTAACTTCTATTTGCCTTGTAGTTAGGGTGCCAACAATTACGGTATTACTGATTACTGTACACTCCAGATTTCTTAAATGGCACTGAGTATATCTCGTATACGCGGCTGCAATCCAATTATGAAAATCTTAGCAGCAGCTTTTCTGTTCGCATAACCACATCGTACTCAACATTTGAAAACTTAGTATGCATGTCGTATATAAACTTTTTACAGCAGAATGTTAAAGGGGCTTCATTATGAAATGGAGCTTGATGATAGTGTTTATATTGACTCAAATATAAACTTGATTTGATTGTAGACTATCTGAAAACGGAGCTATAAGCCCGCTAGTTGCAAAATTGAAAATAAGTCCGAAAGCTATTGATATTGGAAGGGCTGGTAAGGCTCTCTTGAATATTGCCAACAATAGTAATGTCATACAAAGGCCCTATTGAATAATAAAACCGTAGAGAGATTACGGACTAGATTTCCAGCTGAAAAATAGTTTGCAATACTCAAGTTTTATCAATTGATTTGTACATACAATCAAGATTGCTACAAAACAAGCAATTGTCGTATTCCAATCCCTATTAGAAGCAGCTTTACCGACTAATATGCTATAAAAGATAAAGTCGCCTAATCCAAGCTTAACGCCACCTAAATGAAAGTGAATTAAACTCAGATAAGGTGGTAATAATTTTTTGTTTGGATTTCATCCCTACTCATTCAAAATAAAGACCTACTTTGATCATCTTCTTCATCTTCAGTCGCTTCTCTTTCCTCACTATCATCGTCATTGATACCCCTTAATCTATTTTCAGAATGTCGATTGGGTTGAGATGTTGAAAATTCTATGTCGACATCATCGGCATTTTCTGGCTCAGCTTCGGGAGCTGCAATTTGAATATTTCTTCTATTTCTATTGCCTTTACAATATTTAAGCCGTTGAAAAATCAAAAACGCAATGGATTAATTCTTTTTTACGCAATCCATTTAAAAATAATCTTCAGATTATAAAATGATACTAAGCTGATTTATATTTACCTCGAGATGTGTTTGAATTGCTTTGATTATTTTGAGAATCATTTGTTTCTGTTTCATCTTCGGTAGCCATGTTAACGATCCATGCGACCGTAGCTGGTACATAAGCGGTAAAATGGAAATTATTTCAACTAAAATCTCACAATGATACAATTATTACTATAAGACTAACAAGAGTAAATTAAGGAGGGAAAGATTGGCTCATTTCTTTCTTGAGCTGTTTCTACTAAAATTCTTAATGGCCCAAAAGGACATAAGACGGCAACAAGATCTACGAACGAAAAAAATGCATCGTTATGGATATTATAATCTATCAATGTCAAAACTATTACTTACCCCATAAAGAAATAGCACCAAGTACAAACCATGTTGTCCAGTCAGGTAAATATTTGATGAATGTTAATGCCTTATCGAAAATAAATAATAGGAGGTGAGAGACGCTCAGATTTAAGAAATTAAATGGAAATGGATCAGATCCTGTTCACATGATCATTGATATTCTTACCAGTAATGCAGAAATAATGATTAAGTATATTTGCTGAAGCATCAATGGACCCTTCCAATGGACAGCTAATAATCCAATTAGGCCAAAATTCCACATAACAAGCCCTGCTGAAATCCAATCCAGAGATACATTATATACCTCTAAGATATTCCTGCCACAAGAAAAGTAATTTCGATTATTTTTAATGAGAAGTGTACTGTATAATTTTATATTTACATTATCTTCTTACAGCTAACGTATACTCACAAGAAGAAGATGAAATTGAAAAAGAAGAGAAGTAAAACTGAAGTGATGAGTAGCCAACCGTGGATGATCTAGAGAGAAAAATAGACATTACTCAAATCATTGCAGGAAAATACATAGGACTATCTTACAAAATTTAGTCATGTTACTAGCGGACGGCTACACATGACTAGTAACATAGATTAATCAAGATAATTTTGTCATCCATGCTACTACATCTACCCACTACTGTAGATGATATACTTGTAGAAGCACAGACATCTTTACAGGATCGTCATACAAAATACGAAGACATCCTAGTGGTATACTTAAAATAAGCTACATTTGGATTTCTAACAAATGTAGCAATAAGTTGAGGTATACACAGTAGATTGGCGTATTCTGCCGTCAAGGATATAATCTAATATATATTAAAATTAATCTAATGTAACAATATTTTACTTGGCGTATACTTACCTTGTAACAGCGATACTTGTACAACAAAACGACCAAGACAGTCATGGCTATAATTACTCCTAACAAGATTAAAACATTTAACAGCGCTTCGCCAACTTTTTGTCCATCGCTAATATTTCCTTCTTCATGAAATGGAGTGTAAATCCTAGTGAGTAGGGATGATAATAGTAGCATTTATAGAGTGTCTAAAACTATGATATAATTTGTCTTTATAGTTTTGTACATGACTGAGATTTAACACAGCTTTATTGATAGAATGAATAGGCTA